TCCGTCCCCCAGGGAGGAGGTCACATGTAGATCCTTGTAATCGGTTCCCTCTTTCCTACCCACTCTCCCTCCACCCTCCCAGTATCACCACTCACACCCCTGGTCCTGAAGGGATCATCTTCCCTGGATTCCCTGTGTTTCCAGTTCCTATCTGTACCAGTGCACATATTTTAATGTCATTTTCCTGCGTTTTTATAGCATTGATTTCTATTTTTAAAAACAGTTTTGTTGGCACAAAATCCACATACTAAACAGTTCAATAGTTCAATCATATAAGGAGAGTTATACAATCATGACCACAAAAAATTTTAGAACATTTTCTTCTTTCTTGTACTCATTAGCTCCCCAGTTTTCCCAACTCATTAGCTCCCCAGTTTCCCCAACCTCCCCTGCCATATCCCCCAAAACTCATTAATCCAGTTACTGTCTCTGTGTTAGTCCGGGTTGACTAGAGACACAAATTCATGGACACTCACGTGTGTATAAGAAATAGCTTTATATAAAGAGTAAGTGTACATTAAGAAAACATTCCATTCCCATCCAGATGCCTTGTCCCTCAGATCTAAATATTGGTCTGAGCGGCTGAAAAAGAAGGAAAAGTAAAACTGAGATGGACTTGGAGTCTTTAATAACTTACAAGTTCATTTCAAACAGGAAAAAAGAAGAAAGAAAAACATCCCAGCCCAGTCCAGATCAAGTCCAGATATTAGCCCATATGTCTGATAACAATCTATAAATTCCTCTTCAGACTCACAAAACACATGCAGTGGCCTCAAGTGCAGGAAGATCACAGGTCACTGGGTGGGAAATCTTGTGGATCCAGTGGTATTGCAAGCATCTCAGTGCTGGCAGGGGTCTCCACGGGGCTCCTCCAGCTCAGGGCACTAGAGTAGTAGCTTCATGTGTCTTGTCAGCTGCATTGTTTCCCAGGGAGTGAGCCTTGTCAATAGAGAATCTCACAGGGAGTATGTGTCCCGCTTCCAGAGAGCTGTTTATCTCCTTAGTGCCTCCAAATGAGGTCATCAAGCTGGGCCTGATTGTCAGGCTAAAACTCCAGCCCTTCACTCTAATACTCTAAATTGACAGTAGATTATGTAACTACCACAGTCTCTAAATATTTACCTATCCTGGGTTTCATATACAGAACAACATACACACTACAATGACAACAACAGCAAGCTAAAAATAACAAAGTGTAAAACAAGGAAAAACTTCATTAGAAAAGAAAGAAAATATTGAAAAACTAGAACAAATTTAAACTGGGCCAAAAGAGAGGTCAAATGATAAGGTGTTAAATTTTAACCTCTCTGTATCTGCAATAATCCACTTTCCAATGCAGTCGGCACGATAGCAAGGCTGTTCACATCCCTGCTCCATGGTCAGGGTGGGGGTATCCACTGGAGACTTAATCCATGTGCATCCCTTTCTTTCTTTTTTAAACTGAAACAACTTTAAAATGGGTGCAAAGGGAGATCAACTGATAAGGTATTACTGTAAGGTAATTTTGGCGATGGAAAGAAAGAAAATGGGCAAGGCAAAAAATAGTTTTAAAGGTTTATTTTAGAGCTCCTGGGCGAGGTTCCTGGGTCCCCAGTTGGGGCCAGAGAAGTCATGCCGTCCGGGCGAGAGGTGAAGAGTTTTATAGTCTGGGTCTTGGGGAGGGAGTAGCTGGGGAATTTTCCACTGTGATTTGGCTGTCTTCAAAGCCAGGACTAAGCAACAATGTTTTCTGCAACGATTAGCCACCTGCATCTGGGTTTGGAAGGTCACCGAAGGGGAAGGGGAGGTTTGGTTTTTTGCAACATCCTTGGAGTGTTTTTCACTTGCCCACTGTATATTCCACTTGCTTGCCCCACCAACTCCCATTTCTGCCTAACAATTACATTTTAATCTAACTATATCTACCATAATCAACTTTACATGTTCTCCGTCTGATAACAAGGGTACTCATATCTCTTGACTATGGTCAGAGGGACTTTACCAGAGGCTTAATCTGTGTGGGGACCCTGCAAATGGATTTGGGGCTTCCACAATCATCCATAGCCTTCTGCAAACCAGGTGCTCACAATTTGAACTCTGACATAATTCCCTCCGTTGGGTTTGGATTATATTATTTATAACCCTTGGATCACACAGGCTGGTGTGCTTCTTCCATGTGAATTTAGTTGATGCCTTTACTTAGATGGCTTTTTATATGAAGACAAGCTTTTAAGACCCCAGATGCTATCCTCTCTGATAGCCAAGCACCATCTGATTTCTTCCTCACACTTTGCTAGAGCACCCATATCTTCAGTGATCTCTTCAGGAGGGTGATCATCAATCAGGACCATGTCCTACTCATTGTTCCTAGATTGGGGCTAGAATTAAGTGTGGGTCCCAAATCCATTCATATATCAATGTTTTGTATATGTCTTTGGCTCACCTTTGAGGTGTTAGAAAACATTATCAACGATAGTTTCTATTTTGAACAATTTCCTTCTAGTTAATTTAAGTTGAATAAACTTTTCTTTTTATTATTGTTTAAAACATAAACTTATCTCATTGCTTATATAACTTAAAAAAATTCTAGTATAAGCATTTAGAGAATACATTTCCCTCTATATCCCACAGGTTTTGATATATGGTATGTTTTTGTTATCATTTAGCAACTGATAATATTGATTTTTCTAATATTATTTGTGATTTCTTCATGACCCATTATTTATTTTGAAATATGCTAGTTAGTTTCCAAACATGTAGGGTAAGAAAATATCTTTCTTGTTTATAGAGAATAATCTATGTGACTTAAATAATGTTAAGTCATAATATTTCTTTGAATTCAATTCTTTTAAATTGATCAAGGACTATGTTATGGCCCTGTGATCAATCCATTTCTGTGAAAGTTCTATGTGTGCTTGCAAAGAATGTGTACTCTTGCATCATTGAGTGCCATATTCTATAAATGTCAGTTAGGTCCAAGCGACTGATAATGTTGTACATATCTTCTATGTTCGTGCCCATTTGGAAAGCTTGACCCTACTGAGGTCTCTATTGAGTTTCCCACCACTTCAATGGGTCTTTTTGGCGAGGTGCAACGTGAATAGTTCTTAGGCATCTGTGAGCTATTACAATAATTCATCTCACAGCATCCCAGTAACTCTACTTCCCTTGAGATGCTGCTCTTTGCCCAGGGTCATGGGATTTCACATGACCCACGGACAGATTCATATTCAGCCACAATTCAAGAGAGCCCACAGTAGACTTCTGGAGTTCCCTCCTTGCTGATTTTCTTTCCCACAAATTCTAATTACTTTGGCCTCCTTGAACACTGATCGGTGTCACTGGGCTGAACAGATGATCGCTGCATTATGCTACAGTCTGGTCCTTTCTGCAGGCAGAAATCTTGGTTACTGTAAGGATTATCGCTTTTGTGCCTTTTCTCTCAGAAACGAAGTTTTGTACTGCCTCTTTTACTTTTTGGATTCAGTTGTTTTGTATACTTTTGTTCAGTTTTCTACTTGTTGATAGCATGAAGATACTTCTGGGCCTTGTTTCTCTCTCATAGTCAGAAGCATAAGTATTCCTCCACTCCCTCCCTTCCTTTCTTCCTTTCTACCTTCTCCCCTATCCGCCCCTCTTCTCTTTCTCTTTCCTTATCTTTTTCCCCTTCCCCTCCTCCTCCCTCCTGATTATAGATAGATATTTTTATGTAAAAATAAGTGTTTATATATAAACAAGGATTTGTATTTAAACAGATGTTTATACATATATATTTACCATTTCAACCATTAGAACAATGGTTGGAACAATGACATTAATTACATTTGGCATATTGTGCAATTATGCAAAACAATGACATTACTTAAACATTTGCTATATGGTGCAATTGTGTAGCTATAATCATTGTTTCCAATTTTTTTCATCAGCCTTTAACATAAAATCAGTAATCCTTAAACAGGCATTCCCCTCTCTCCCCTCCCATCCATCCCTGGTAACTACTAATAAGCTTAGGCCTTTATGCATTTGCCTGTTTTAGATATTTCATGTAAATGCACTCAGGTAATCGTTGTCTTTTTGTGTATGACTAATTTCACACAGAGTAATGGTTTGAAGCGTAATATCTGTCCCAACATACCTCAGTTTTTCATTTCTATTTATGTCTCAGTAATATTCCATTGGATGTATATGCCACATTTTGTTTATCCATTCAGATGTTAGTTGACACTTGGATTGTTCCTACTTTTTGGCCATGGTGGATAATACCATAATATATCTGTTTGAAGACTGCTTTCAAGTCTTTTAGGTATATAACCTACAGTGTATTTACACTGGTGGACATGTGGGTTAGGTGTGGGGATGCTAACCATAGAGTGGTGGTTCAAATCCACCAGCCAATCTCTAGGAGAAAGATGAGGCTGTCTGCTCTGGCAAGGACTTACAGTCGGGAAGGACTTACAGTCTCAGGAACCCTATATAGAGGGTCACTGCGGCATCAACTCAGTGTCACTGGTTTGGTTTTGGTCCCTGGTTATTTTATGTTTAACTTTTCAGGAACCACCAAACCGCTTTCCACGATGGCTGGATTATTTTACAATCCCAACAGCAATGAACGCAGCTTCCAATATTTTCCTGCATCCTCATCAATACATGTTGTTTTCCATTTTTCTTTTCTTTCCTTTTTGAGAGTATCCATCCTAGTGTGAGATAAAATGTTATTTCATTGTAGCTTTGATATTCATCTTCCTAGTAACTCATGACATCGAGCGTCTTTTCATGTCATAATTGAACATTTTTTAAAAGCATTTTTAAAATGTTTAAAAAATATTAAGCACATTAAAAAAAACCAGTCTTATTGCCATACAGTTCACATATCTTACGATTCAGTACAGTGCAATCACATCAAGAGCACTTGTGCAGTCATCACCACAATCTGTTTCAGAACATTTTCTTCATGCCCCCCCCACCCCCCACCCTCCCGCTTTTAAAAAGAGTTGTAGATACATGATCACAATTAGTTCTAGTGCTCCCTCCTGCTCTCACATTCATTCTTTACTCCCAACTCCCCTCAACCCCACCCCCACCCCAGTCCCTGGTAAACCATTGCATCGGCTTTTGTCTCTATGCATCCCATCATCCTGTGTTTCATAAACTGGGAAACATAACAAATTTAAAAAAACAAGCAAACAGAATAAAACTATAGAGGAAGAAAGAAAAGACCACCAGCAATATTAAAATAATCCTGAGAGAAATTTTCGGTCGTGGAACAAGCGAGAAATATTTAAACTTAAAGCTAATTTGGGTTGGGTCTATGTACCTGGCTCTGATTTGGGTTGGCTGTCTTTTTGCTGTTGAGCTGTAGGAGCTCTTGATTATCCTGATAATCTGTCTGTGAAATCTTTATCGAATACACTTACTTGATCAAATACACAGTCTCTCATTCCGCAGATTGTCTTCTCACTTTATTGATAAAGTTCTTTACTACACGGAGTTTTTTTTTCTTTTTTAATCATTTTATTGGGGCCTCGTACAACTCTCATCACAATCCATATATCCATCCATTGGGTCAAGCACATTTGTACATTTGTTGCCATCATCATTCTCAAAACATTTGCTTTCTACTTGAGCCCTTGGTATCAGCTTCTCATTTTTCCCCACCCTCCCCTCCCCACCTCCCTCATGAACCCTTGATAATTTGTAAATTATTATTATTTTGTCATATCTTACACTGTCCGACGTCTTCCTTCACCCACTGTTCTGTTGTCTGTTCCCCAGGGAGGGGGTTATATGTAGAGCTTTGTGATCGGTTCCCCCTTTCTACCCCACCCTCCTGGTATTGCCACTCTCACCACTGGTCCTGAGGAGTTCATCTGTCCTGGATTCCCTGTGTTTCCAGTTCCTATCTGTGCCACTGAACATCCTCTGGTCCAGCCGGATTTGTAAGGTGGAATTGGGAGCATGATAGTGTACACAGAAGTTTTTAACCAAGTCCAATTGATCCATGATGCCTTTCTTTGCTGTGCTTTTTAGTGTCCTCTCTGATGATCTGGTGTTCAGAACTGAGTCCCGGAGCCTTACCCTGTGGTTTCTTCTGTGACATAAGATTTTAGTTCTTCGATGTGGGTGGTTCTTTCATTTTGAGTTAATTTTGATATCTAGAATGAGGGACGGGTTCAACTTCATTCTTTCACATGTAGAGATGCACTTGTCTATTTATGGAAGAAATGATTCTTTTTCTATTACATAGGCTAACACCCTTGCCCAAACTCAACTGAACATTGATATGTGGGTTCATTTCCTATCAATTTGATTCCATTGATGTCTATGCCTATCCTTATTCCAGGATCATACTATTTTGATTGCTGTAGTAAATTTTGTAATTGGGGACTAGGGAGTCATCCTTTGTTCTTCTGTTTAAGATTGCTTTGTCTATCCAGGGTCACTTGCAGTTCCATATAAATGTTAAAATTGAAAGAAAAAACCGAAAGGACTTTTCCATGTGTGCAAAGACAGCACTGTTAGGATTTCAGTAAGGATTCTGTTGACTGTAGAGTGACACCTTAATGAGCTGTCTTCTAGTCCTTGAACACAGAATTTCTTTCTCTTTATTAAGTTTTCTTTAATATCTTTCCGTCATTTCTTCTAGTTTTTAGTGTACAAGTCTTCCAACCCCACCTGCTTAAATTTCTTTTGTGGTGTTTATTTTAGATGCCGTTATAAATGGAATTGTTTCCTTCATTTACTTTTCAGGTTGCTTATTGCTGATTTATAGAAATCCGACTCATTTGGAGGTAGTAATCTTGTACCTTATAACTTTGCTTTAATGATTAAAAAAAGTATTTTAGCGATGAAAAAAACTACAATGCTTAATTTATATAAAAGGAACAAATAACAATGTTACTATTAACCACCCAGAATTAAACTGAAGCCTAAGAAGAATCAAATTATTTCATGACCATCTAGTGATTTGAATTGATAGATTTTGCTCAGAGTTGTATTGCTACTCTTTTGTGGAATTTGAATGACATCTATATTAAATGAGATATGGGAGTTTACTGTTTTATTTGGGGAGTTGTCTGTTTTTCTGATAGATTAAAGAGTAAACCTGATGATGACTTTGAAGATCCCAGAGATTTGCAGGCCATCAAAGATGCCCAAGTGCACATGGGAGACTTTAATCTGAAGACATCCCCAGACTACAAGATACCTGAGCACATGAGAATCAACGCTGCCAAGAAGGAAGAAGAACTGGGAGTTCTCGACACCCTGGTACTTTCCCACATACTGCTTGACCCCGAGAACACACCCCGTATTTTTCCTTTTCCAGCTCCTTCTCTGGCCCAATGGGATATATCATCGCAGAGATTCATACTGGAAAAGAAGTTCGTAGTTATCTAGACTGATGTCCTCTCTTGACAAAGGTGGAACTGGGGGCCAAGGATGACAAGAGATAAATATCTGTAATTAGTCAGGTAACATGACAGATGCAGCCTTCAATCAACTACATGGCTTAATGCCAAGTTCATGGGTGACAACATTTTATTTTATGGACTTTAACACATCCCCATCGGATATAGCATTGGCCTTCCTTGGATCACCAAAGACGTACTGGGTCTTGGGGTGGGTGGGTGAGCCAATCTTTTGAATTTATTGGCAGAACTATTACAGGTAAGTCAATATTAACCACATGATACATCTCTTTTAAATTCTACTTTCTTCCAAATGCTTCTAGTCATCTTGATTTCTGAGCCTCATTTTCTTACTAACGCTTTCTCTCCCCTACATGAGGAATCTTTAACCTGCCCCCACCCCCACCCTTTTCATCACTTGAGGCTTAGAAGGTGCCAGTGTACCCTTCTTTGGGAGAACTTGGCACAGGGCCTCCTAGTTGTGCAGGTTTGCAAGTTACACATTGTAAGGCACCAAATTGAGTGCCATATACCTTTGCAAACAGTATATTTGTACATTTTATAGCTTTCTAAGAAATGAAGGGGAAATATCTAAAGGAAGGCAAGGCATATCTTTTTCTACTTTACCAAAGATGTGCTATCTGCCAGCAGTGGACCCTGGCATGGCCATCCATATTCATAAAAACATTTTATACCTCATAACTTTACCTTTCTGGACATTTTTGACATTTCTTTAGTGATCATTTGGATTGCTTTTCTTGCTGTTTGTCTAAGGTAATTCTTGTTTCAGCTATTATGTTCCATCTATTCTCATAAAGAAATGTCCATATGATCTAGCTAGCTAGAAAAGATGAGTGGGTGTGGTGTCTTGAACGCAGTTGCACTACACTAACCTCTACTTTATTAAGCGAAAAAGAACGCTGTTGTTCTTGCATCCATGCGGAAGCCCGGGGATCCCATGTGTACGGGGGTAGGGGGAGCTACTCCGTAGGGTCTTCAAAGCTGTGACCTTCTGGAAACAGATTGCCACAATTGTCTTCCAAGGAACCCCTAGGAAGGCTCAAATCACCCACCTTCTGACTAGTAGTTGAGCGCTTAATTGTTTACATTACCCAGGGATGATCTGAACTCCTATAGAACATAGTGGTCTATAAGGAGCCCTCATGGTGTAGTGGTTACGAGCTGGGCCGATCACATAAAGGGCAACAGGTTGAAACCACCAGCCACTCGGCAGGGGCTTTCTACGCCCGTAAAGAGCGACAGTCTTGGAGTTATAGGGCAGAGTTACAGCTTGTCCTAGACCTTGAGGGTTGCTATGAGTCATCGACGAATCAGCAGCAATGAGGACCTAAGTTCGAAACCAGTGTTCTCTCCTCATCTCTGCCACTTAGCAGCCATGTGAAGTTCGCCAAGTCATGTAAATCTCATCTGTTAAAAGGGTATTAATAACAACTAGCAACAAAGCTATGTCTAATCTACCCGATAGGCATCCTGGTGGTGCTGTTGGTAAGCATCAGGCTGCTAACCGTAAGGTCAGCCGTTCAAACCTGTCAGCCACTCCTCAGGAGAAAGATGAGGTTGCTTGCTCCGGTAAAGAATGCAGCCTCAGAAACCTTAGATAGATAGAGGTGCTATGAAAGAGAATCCTGGGTTTTAATATACCTGATAGAGTAATTGTTGTGGTATAATTCAATAAAGTATCCGAAGGTGTTTTGAAAAGCATCAACCATGAAATGCACAATATATTTTATGTACACACACATATACAGCTGCCACGTTTGCTTGTGTGGTGTTTGAAAATCTCGAATGAAGAAAAAGGTCTGCCAAGCAGAAGGCTCTATGGCCTGAGATTGGCGTTGGTTCAGTCTGGTAGTCGGAACCTTTGATCCTCCTGCGCTTTCAGAGTTGGTCTCTTACTACCACACTGCTGGCTGTTCTCAGACTGTAAATGTCACCTTTTTCTCTCTACAATGCTTTGCTTTAGACATAGCAAATAGACAAATAATTTTAAGATTGCTTGGAGAAGTACTTTTTTATTTCTAATTTTTTGCCTATGTACAAGGGGCTACCCACCCCCAAAACGGAATTTTTTTCAAAGCTATGTATTTAATTCTTTTTGAACAAAACAACCTTATCACCTTCAAAGTACTCTCCATGACACTTAATGCATTTGTCAAATCTGATACTCCATTCTTGGAAATATTTCTCAAACATCTGCTTGGATGATTAACAGCACTTCCCTCTTTTTTTTCTTCACCTCTTTCACATGATCAAATCACTGTCCTTTCATGCCCCTCTTCATTCATGAAAACAAAAAGAAGTCACCCCGAGCAAGGTCAGGTGGGTAAGGTGCATGGGGCAAGAGAGGCATGCTGGTTTATTTTGCCCAAAATTGGCACACTGAGATGGCTGCATGAGTAGGTGCATTGTCGTGGTGGCAAAACCAGTCCCAGTTTTGGCACAAATTAGGCCTTTTTTTTTTAATCGCACACTGTTACAAAACCTTTTCAGAAACTCTAAATAGAAAGCTTGATTAATAGTCCGACTTGGTGGAAAGAACTCCAAATGCACTGTCCCCCTCACGTCAGCAGAGCTTTTCTCGGTTATTTTTGTGGGTATCCCCTTGTATATAAAGTAACTATTAATGACCTTTGCCTAACCACACACCTGAATAGGGCTGCATGTGCTCAGAGGCTCTATGGGCCCGAGGTTGGTGTGGCCCTGAAAGACAGACCAAGGAGAGAGCTGGTAATGAAGGTGGAGAGGGCATGTAAAACACCCGCCATGGTTAGAAGCACAGGGCAGAGAGGCTCATTCAGAACAACGGAGAAGGAATCCAGGAAAGATCATGAGATAATGAAATCCCTTGGTGTGACATGATAAGAAAATTCAGGATGGTGCTCTTGTCTATACAGGAAAGAAAGCCATGCTGTGGACAAAGTACAGAAAGGAAACAGGCTAAAAAGTAGTTCCAGAGAAGGCAGCCCTAACTTATTCTAAGTCAACGGGATTTGAGGTTCCAGGGAAAGGCAGCGGCTTTTGTGTTCCTAACCAGGGAATGACTTCCTCTCCCTGGGGAAACCATCCAGCCAAGTACAGGCTTGAGGAAGGACCTTCTTGGAGTGGTTGGAAGAGCACAGAGGAACTGAGCCCTTTGAGCCTGATGAGCAGATGAGGCCCACAGGGGGAAAAGCTTACAGCCAGAGCAGGGAGGGTCAGATCCATATTGGAACTTTTAGAGCGTAGCATATTCCAAGCTGTCCTTTCTGAGAAGGTTCTAATTTTGATGACTGCCTGTGTTTGTGTGTTTGTTTAGGCCTATAGAAAGAAATTACACATGAACAAGTGCATCCTCTCTCTACGAGGCCTTAAAATGGCTGTTATTGAGGAAATACAGTGCCTGGTCCAAGAGCTGAAGAACATTCAGTCTACTCTCCCTGTCTCGAAGCACATCCCTATTCCTCAGATCCCTCAAATCCACCCTGAGGAAGTTCCAGAGAAGCGGTTCCAGTATGATGAGGAAACTCTCCTGACTTTTAAGCGCCAGCAGATGAAGACTCAGGAAGAAAAGAGCCCCCCCACAGGTCTGGCAGGATCGATGGCCACCCCTGGAGGATTCAAAATCCCCCCCGGAAAGGACTTGGATTTGATAGCACGACGAGAAACCTTGGCTAGAATGTCAAAGGCATCCACGTTCAGTATAGATATTGGAAAGTGTTCGGAATTTGAACCAGCAGAGCCAACAGATATGGAGATCGAGATTGCGAAGAGGGATGAGGTTAAACATGTGTACATGCAACAGTATTTGCTCAACAGGGTAAGGGATGAGGCTGTTCCTATGTAAAAGGGAATCAGAGGCGAGCAAGGGGAGGACTTTGAGCTACTTATTGAGATGTATCTGCATTGGCTTCCCCCCTCAGCCCCGCCCCCGCCCCCCCACGCCCCCACACATCCTGGCCTGAGCATCTATTCCTGAGGGCTCAGCTTATTTCTGAGGCTTGGCCTTCTGAAAAGCCTGGTGTCCAGCTTCCAGCTTTGGAGATTTGTACTGCTCTTATTTGGGGGAAAACTGAATCTGAAAAGAAATGTCAGAGCAGCATTCAGCTGTTTCATGGGACATAATACAAAACCTTCCAGAGAAAATGGGGCACCCTCTGCTTTTCACACCTCCTTGTTTCCACCTGGTGCCATAGTGGTTGCATGTTGGGCTGCTAACCTCAAGGTGTACAGTTGAAAACTACCAGCCACTCCTCGGGAGAAAGACAAGGCTTTCTGTTCCCATAAAGAGTCTTGGAAACCCACAGTGGTCCGTTGTACCCTGCCCTATAGGGTCACTCAGGGTCAATGGCATCAACTCAATGGCAGTGAGGTTGGCTTTCTGAGTCTTCCCCATGTGCAGTTTGCTCTATCATGAAGGTGTTCTGGTGATGGTTGGGTTTGAAATTGCTTTGGAGATGGAATGACGGATATTTCCATTTTTTATTTTAAGGGGAGTCAGGAACCAGGCTGGGGCCAGTTGTGCAGAAGGGCTTCAGAATATGAAAAGAACCTTTCTTGGGTGGAAGGCGGACTGCTCACGGTGTCTTCCCATCTCTTACCTGTGAAGGTGCCACTTATACCTTCCCAGCGTCATTCTTCCCCCTTGGTCTATACTTCATCCAGCCCAATTTCCCACTCTTCCTGCTTCCTTCCCACCCCATTTCCTTTGCACACCCTCAGTTTCCCAGCCTTAGCTATTCCCTCCTGCCTGCAATGAGCTCCTTCCAAAGTCGGCCCATCATTCAGGACTCAGCACAGTTCCAAGCCCTCTGCAGATCCTGCTGCCCATATAACACACTCTCTCATGTTTTTCTAAGCTCCAGTTGTACCTATAATTAGTGCCTTATGCTTTCTACTTATATTTCTTGCTGTTCTATATGTATTAGTTTTTTCTTGAAAGTTAGATCAGTCTTGAGGAAAGGTACCACATATACTTCTAGATCCCCACAGTGTCTAGGACAATGCCCTCTCGAGATATGTAAATACATATTGAGTCAAAAGTTTTGAGTGACTGGTTCATGGTAATTCATATACCGATTTTATGAATTTCATGACTTTCAGACAATCTGTGTGCTGGTGTTCCACCAGCGAGGTAGTGGGAATTCAACAGTGTTCCACATGGACTCCAGTCTCGCAAAGCTGACAGGCTGTTGGGCAGAGGGTAAAGCGAATGGAACCCTTTTGCACCTGGAGCCCTATGTAGCTCAGGTGCAGAGTTGGGTTGCCCTGAAGAAAGCATAGCCCTACTTCCAACGAAATTTAGAAAAAAATTGAATCTACTTTTTTACATTATTTTTTGGGAAAAAAAGTCAAAGACAGCCCAAACTCACAGTCGGCAAGTCATACTTATTTAAAAGTTAAAATATGTTCATTCTCTTTGATTTTGTTTTGTAAGCTCTCTGAAATTCTGTAGTAGTTTCCCTGCCTCGATCCCCAGGTCCCCTCCTTGTCCGCAGTCCCCAGGTGGAGCCTCCGGGCTGAGCCCTTATTTACTGCAGGTGACACTCCCCATCTTGTGCAGCCCAGTGCAACACACGGAATGGTTTGTCTTCTTGCTAGTGCACTAGTTTACTCACAGGAACCAGCCCTGGGCGCTCCCTTCACATCCATCGTCTTTGGGATGGAGTGTGGGCGGGGGTGGAAAAGAAGCTGTTCCCCAAACCAAGGACCTGAAAACCATTAGCAAAGCTACGGAATAAGATCCGAATCCGGATCTGGACTCTGGACACTTACAGTCTTATCCCAGCTCAGTAATAAATTAGCTCTAGGAGCGGGAAAGCCACGTTTCACCTGGGTTTGGGAGTTGAGGAAAATATTTATTTAGTGTTTCGATACTGTGGTGCAGGAGAAAGCTGGGGCTTCCTATTTTCGTGAAGAGTTCTGGTTTTAGAAACCCCTAGGAGCCGTTTTTCCCTGTCCCCGAGGGTCACTGTGAGCCAGTGTCTACTCGATGGCACTGAGTTTTTGGTCGATACTGTGCGTGATAAACAGGAGACAGCTGTACGCCCTATTTCCAAAGAGGTCTCTCTGTTTTAAACTATACAGCACTGTGAGAAGAGTACTCTTTATTGATAACTTAGCCAGGGGTAAACAAATAGGAGGGACTATAACTGCAAAGTTCATACTACTTAACAAATTAAATCATGTAAATTAAATACCATTAATGATTGGATTTTTATGATTGCACACACAACTCTCCATCTCCAATGAGAGCCTAATGAGACAATGATAAGCTTTATATAAACAAATCAGTACTATTAGTTAAAACAAATTCTCCTGTTATGAACTTTTAACATACCCTCAATTTTATACCCTCCCCACCCCCACGGCAGATCAAAGAACTGATTGTCACTTTTGATGCGGAACTTCGTATTCTGAGACATCAGAAATTGAAACTCGATACTCAGATAAAGCTATCTGACCTGCACCATGTCACATTATTTCAAGAAATGCTTCTTCTCAAGAACTTTGAGAAGCAGGAGAACATACTTCAAGAGCGCGTGAATTCACTGGATAAAGAAGAGCATGACATGCAAGTACGAATGGGCAAGAGAATGTTAACTGGCTGTGCCCTTAGCTGTGGACAACGCTGTCCCTTTTGTCTCCTTCTGAGTCTCCCCTCTTGCTCTGGGCTTCATCTCGCCTTCCCTCCTCACCTCCGTCTTCCTGTTCTTCCTGCTTGCTCTGTCTTTGACAGATTTGGACAGAGGAAATCGAAATACGTTTATAGGGAACATGGTCTGATCATTTGTAAGGGAGGAGAAAAAAACATTTCAGTGAGTCCAATCTAATCCAGGCTAACAGGTCAGATAGAGACCGGTGGAACCCCCAAGACTATGGTCCCTTTAGGTCTGGCAGTGAACTCACCCAGTGGCTCAATTTTCAGCCAAACAATAGACAGGCTTATAAAGGTATACACACCTTAGAATAACCAACTATTAGGTCTAAAGGGCGGGCAATGTCTACCCAAGAACAAAGCTCAGAAGGTTGGGAGGATGGAAACTGGAAACACGAGGAGGAGTTTGGCTAAGTGATGTTACATTGTGGGAGTTGCAAACAGTGGCATGCAACAATGTGTGTCATCATTAAATGAAAAAAATGGAAACATCTATTTATTGAATCAAATTTCATCAAAAAAATAGATGACGCCGTAACCCTCCACTCAATCTAATTTCTTTAAAATACATTTTTCAAAAGTGTGCCCTATATTTAGTTTATATATGTACTTCAAAAATCCATGCTGTCAAGGTCTCTAACGATTGTATGAGATTGAGTTTTGATTTTATGTAATCCTTGTGTGCTTATCTGGCAAAGAAGCTGACAGGTTTCTTAAATAGCCAGTTTCAACATATCATATAATTGGTACCATAGGAAATTAAGTTATTATATTAATAAATTACTTGTATAGATTAATATAATAAATTAATATATTCAATGTAAAGGAATGTCTTACATTATCCTTGTTAAGAGGAATAGGGCTCTATCAAATAGATATTACGTACCAAATAGACACATTCATTTTTTTTTATGGATTCGGTCCATCCGTGACATGCAGTGTGTCATGCTTTCATCACTGTTTCTGGGGATGCGAAGTATTCCGTTGTGTGTGTGGACCATAGTTCCTTCATCCGTTCTTCCACTGTTGGGCATGCGGGCTGCTTCCAGGTTCTTGCTACTGTGAACTGTGCTGCAATGAACATGGGGGAGCACACCTCCACTCATGCTGTGCCTCTTATTTCTTTGGGGCATATGCCTAATAGTGGTATTGCTGGACCATACAGGACTTCAGTTCCCAGTTGTACACATGAGCGTTTAGGTATATTCGTTTCATGAATAAGTAATATGTCTTTTAGTTTTATGCCAATCTGAAAAGACATTAGTTGGCATGAAGATCACACATGCAAAAATATCAGCTGAAATTCACATACATCAGTCAAATAAAAACTAGCTAAGTTAGATTAGTTTGAGGGAATTAAAATTTTAAAAACTTTAGTTTTCGGATTCTGAGCTTAATGGGCTAAGAAATAATAATAAAACTTTAATTACCTAAATAGCTGACTCTTCAAACATCAGGAATGTAAACTTCTATTAAAAGCCTTTTGAACAAATGTAGACTGCAATCTTGCATTGCAATGTATTTTACTCCCTGACCTAGTTTCTGCGAATGCTTGATCTAGTTTACCAAAGGTTTATCCTTTGTTTTTGTTGTATTCATTTAGTGCAAAATAAACGACACCCTCGCAGAGTTGGAAGAGAAAAAGAATGAAGTCACTAAGCTCCAGGATCAGGAAAAGACACTCTACACCAGCTTCCAATTATCACTTGGAGAAAACAACAAATTTGCTAACTTCCTCATGAAGGTGCTGAAGAAAAAGATTAAGCGAGTGAAGAAAAAGGAAGTTGAAGGCGAAGGCGGTTTGTATCCCTTTTTACATAGAATTCCATTTTCTCTCATTGACATGATATAGGATAGTAACTGAAACATACACAAAACACACGAGGGGAGGCTTCAACCAGTTAGTGGAAAAATTGAATGAAAGGGTAGTAGAATTTCCCCAAATGTTTCCAAACCCCCTTGCGTATATTTTTTCCATGCTACAGTGCAGGGACTGTGGAGACTAGAGACGGACACATCTTTTAAATTCTATCCATTTTTGCTTCATATACTTTTGCATTTCAGTTCCGCGTGTCTATGCTAATGATTGTCAACTTTGCTCGATGGATCCAACCTCTTTTTGATATTTAATGTCCTTCTTTGCCTCTTGTATAATTCTTTTTTGACTTAACATCTATTTCTTCTGATAATCATATAGCCATCCCAGCTTCCTTTTGATCACTGCATGGGATATCTTTTCTCTTCCTTTTAGTTTAACCCTCTTCTGTGTCTAAAGTGATGATCTTTTTAAAAAAAATCATCTTATTGGGGGCTCGTACAACTCTTATCACAATCCATCCATCCATCCATTGCGTCGAGCACAGTTGTACACTTGTTGCCCTCACCATTCTCAAAACGTTTGCTTTCTACTTGAGCCCTTGATATCAGCTCCTCATCCCGCCCCCCACTCCCCATTTCCCCTCCCTCATGAACCCTTGATAATTTATAAATTGTTATTATTTTTTCATATCTTACACTGTCTGACATATCCCTTCACCCACTTTTCTGTTATCCATCCCCCAGGGAGGAGGTTATATGTAGATCCTTGTAATCAGTTCCCCCTTTCTACCCCACCTTCCCTCCACCGACCCGGTATGGCCACTCTCACCACTGGTCCTGAAGGGATCATCTGTCCTGGAATCCCTGTGTTTCCAGTTCCTATCTGTACCAGTGTACATGCTCTGGTCTAGCCAGATTTGTACAGTAGAATTGGGAGCATTATAGTGGTGGGGAGGAAGCATTTAAGAACTATAGGAAAGTTGTGTGCTATACTGCACCCTGACTGGCTCGTCTCCCCCCTGCAACCCTTCTGTAAGGGAATGTCCAGTTGCCTACTGATGGGCTTTGGGTCCCCACTCCACACAACCCCTCACTTACAATGATATGATTTTTTGTTCTTTGATGCCTGATACCTGGTCCCTTCTACACTTCATGGTCACACAGGCTGGTGGGCTTTGTTGCTTCTGAGTTAGATGGCTGCTTGTTTACCTTCAAGCCTTTAAGACCTCAGATGCTATTTGATAGCCGGGTACCATCAGCTTTCTTCACCACATTTGTTTATGCACCCATTTGTCTTCAGCGATTGTGTTGGAAAGGTGTGCATCATGGAATGCCAATTTAATAGAACAGTGTGTTCTTGCATTGAATAAGTTAAAGTGATGATCTTGGAGACCACATACAGATGGCTCATGGCTTTTTTTAGGTAGTTTTTTTCTTTTTATCCATTCTGCTAACCTGTGACTTTTGTTTAAAACTAGACAGTCAAATAATAGATGGTAGTAATACAGGAAATCAGATTCTTCCCTCTCCCCAGAATTCGCTCTTAGCTTGAAGCCTTAGCTTGCTTGAGCTCAGCTAGGGTTTTGTGTGATGTCCTTGGATGCTATGAGCTTTATAAACAACAAAAAGTGATGAGTTGTATGACCCCCTAATAAAATGATTAAAAAAGAAAACAACAACAACAAAAAGCCCCCCTCAGTCTTTGCGGGGTGACTCTGCTGGGATTCCTCTCTGACAATAGCTGGGCTCTTCACAGATCTGCCTCTGCCTTCATTCACTTCTATTTGCACTCACCCATAGATGAGTCACAGCAAAACGTTGGGATCTTCTCTGGCATTTGGGAGCACGCATCTGCTGGTGGCATGCATGTGCCTTGCTAGCTTTCTCAGTGTACAGAAGTGCTTTTCAAAGGCAAAGTGGCATCGGGGCCACATCTGACCTCCGACTCCCAAAGCTGGTTTCCACACTGCATAGGGCAGACTTGCCATCACCCTCCATTCTTCTCCACCCTACACTGACACCAACATTTACTCCCATGGCACTCAAATCCCCCCCCCCCCCCCCACACACACTCTACTTTTCAGGTAGGTTTGATAATTCATGACAATGAACTCACAGACTGTTCTCATGATTGTGGGGTTTATTAGAGATGTTAACAGGTACAATTCAGGCGAGAAATGTTTAGGATACAGTTGTTCAGTCAGGACAGCCGCTGCCATACTTACAGAGAGGCCTCTCTCTCTCCGAGCCTGTCTTTGGTTCTGCTTGGGCAATGTTACAGAGTTCTTTGAGGGCAGCCAATAAATGCCCAAAGGGCATGCCACTGTGTCATAAGCCTCAGCCTGAGACAGTCAGCTCCAGTCTGTGGGTCAGCAAACTGCCCCTCTCTCCCACCTCCCCCAAAATTAAGTGCCCAGAGGCACCTCATTCCACAAGCCAGCATCTTGCCAACAAAGCACTCAGCTTCGCGTGCTCTGTGGGCTAGGAAATCCACTAGTCTCTCTCAAGCTCTGGTTCCTGGTCTGCTGCGGCTGCTTCTCTGTCACTCCTCTGGTATCAAAACTGCCTCCTGGATCAGGAAGGCTCAGTGAGCAGGGACCTCGGGGTCTAAAAGAATGTTCTCCTGGCTCTTCTCCCTTGCTGGTAGTGAGATCTCTCTCCCTGCTACTGAGATGGCTCATTTTATACTCACCAGGATGGCAATTGCAATGAGCCCTGTTAATAATCACTCGTAGATGTATTCTGCCACCTTCTCTTACCCAGACTCATCAGGGAAATGTCATTTGGTGAGAGTCATAAAAACTAACTGGGGCTAGAAGAGCCATAAAGAATTCACTGCACTGCAGCTTTAATTTTCAAAAGAGACTGCTCACCAGCTATTCCTCCTATGCTTTTAGATAGTTTGTTTATTTTTTTATCTCAGAAGGAGCCATGGGTGCTCAGTGGTTAAACACTTGGCTACTGGATACAGGTGAGTGGTTTTAATACACCAGCTACTCCAGAGGAGAGCAATGTTCCCCTGAATATGATAGCCGAGGAAACCCTCCTCTCTTCTGCAGGGGCAGTTCTAACTTGTGCTACACGGTTGCTATTAGTTGCACTCAGCCTGATGACGATGGGTCTGGTTAGGGTTTTTACTAACTCAGTTGTGACATTTTGCTCTGGGAACATAGTCCTACCTTCCTCCTCACCTTGCTGATTCGCTTTAGTTGAGGCATTAGAGTGCCTTGTTACAGCCTTATGAGGGTCGATGTCTAGGCTCTACACTTGACCTTTGTTATGGTGGTGGTGATGGTCCCATGGTTCCAACTCAAGAGAAACCCTGTGCCCCACAGAATGAAGTCCGCCCGGTCCTGCACCATCCTCACAATTCTGCTTACGTGTGAGCCCATTACTGCAGCCGCTGTGCTCATCCACCTGATGGAGGGCCTGCCTGTTTGTCATCCTCCTCTGACTTTTTTGACTGCCCCTTTCCAGGGATTCGTCTCCCTGACAACATCCCCAAAATACGTTCGTTAGAGGAAATCTCTCCATCTTTCCCTTTAAGGAACATCTGGTTCTTCTTCTTCCGAGACGGACTCGTTCTTTGGCAGCCCATGGTACTTCCAAAATTCTTCGGCAGCACCATAATTCTTCGGTCTTCCTTATTCAATGTCCAACTTTCACAGACGTGTGCGGCGATTGAAAACACCTTGGCTTGGGTCAGGCACACTGAGTCCTCAAAGTAACATCCTTACTTTCAACACTGTAAAGAGGTCTCGGGCCGCAGACTTACTCAATCCTTGCGTCATTTGATCTCATGACTGATGCTTCCATGAGCATCGAGTGTGTCGTGAGAGACTACTTCTGTCTTCCTTGATTCGGCTCTGCTCCTTTGTCCTTCTCATGCATTATGCATTATATATTCCCCACATTTCAGTATTCATCTTCTGTGTTTTTCTTTGCTGCTTTTTTATTGCTTCGAATGTTTCATTTATTTGGTTTGTCCTGCTAGTGTTTTCCTGAATTTGTCTTGAGCTCTCTCTGTGTTTTCCTTGATTTCGTGTGCATTTCCCTGGCTGTTTATCCCAATCCATCGAAGGTATCTGACTATTCTTCTTTTGAATTCCTTATCAGGTGGTTCCAATGCCATGTCTTCCTCAAGAATATTATCTGGATCCACAAGTATCATGAGTCCTTGTTGGAGCTTCTTCCTGTGAATTGTCTTGGAGACATTGTGGCGTGGTTGAATTTGTGTTTAACTGATTATATGTTGATGTGTATTGCCTAGGTTTCTCTGACTCCTACCCCTGCCACCCTTAGCCTTTATTTTGTTTAGTTAATCCAGGTGCGCGCAGCAGGTGTGCTACTGTGCCTGCGAGCTTGGCAGCATTCGGGCTCTCACCACATGTCTTCTGGTGGCTGAGCTAGAGGATGGGTGTTTGTGTGCATTTCTCTGCTGTTCATTCATAGTAGCTGAGGGCAGGAAGTGTTGGCACCGGCCACCATCTCTCACTGATCCACATGTTTTCTTTTGTTTCTCCTATCTTATTGTATAGGGCCTGATGAACTCGTCTGCCTAGTCTGCCATCTTGCTGAAAGTCCTTGAGCTATCTCAAATTTGAGAAACTTCCACAGAGTATGAAGTGCCTATCTTATCTCTAATTGGCTAATTACAGACGTTGCAAATTGGCGACCTCTGATGTGTAGATCGCCACAAGGTGTTTCCAGAGAATATGCCGAGTAGGTTGGAATCAGCAGGCCCACCAGTCGGTATCTGGAACCCCTCGGGGCAGATAGGCCTTAGGGTTGCGAAACTCTTGGATTTTCTAAAGATAGCATGCCTGGTATATCACTCCCCAGTAGGCTCTGGTACATGACTCTGAAGTGAAAGCCCTTACTGCCTCTGGAGCCCTGCTGGTGCAAAGATTCAATGCTGGGCTGCTAACCGAATGGTCGCTGGTCTGAACCCAGGCAGTGGCTCGACGGGAGAAAACTTGGCAACCTTGTCCTAGAAAAACGACAGGCACGAAAACTCCATGGGGGCAATTCTCCTGTGTCTCATGGGGTTGCTCTGAGTTTTCATCAACTTGACAGCCTCTAACAACAACAACAACAGTTCTGTAGCACAGCGGGCGTAGTCACACTAAGCAATGTACAGGTGAACCCACTCATCACCATCTGTTGTCAAGGTGATGCTGACTCGGAGCAGAACTGGAAGCAGACTGCCATGACTTTCTCCTGCAGGTCAACTGGTGGCTTCTGATCAGCCCCCTTTTCAGGTAGCGCTGCACCACTAGGGTTCCTCTCTCAACCAAGTGTTATGTACGTTCTGGTAAGGAGCACTATGGCTTAGTGGTTAAGGATGTGGTTGCGAACTGAGAGGTAGGCAGTTCAAACCCACCAACTACTTAGGGGAAGAAGCGGTCTCAGTCTGCCACTGTAAAGATGTCCGGCCTGGCAAACCCCATGAGGCAGTTCTGCCCTGTCTTGAGGGTGGCTGCGTCTTGATGGCAATGGGTTTGTTTTACCAGGTCACATGAGTCAGGAAGCCTTTTTCTGCTTCAGTGCATTTTAAGACTTAGGAGTTTTGCACCTGCAAGTATGTGGTAGGCTGATCACGACAGACTCCTCTCACCCTTACGCGGTTTAATGCCATTGGTAATGACTGTAGCATTTGAGTTTGTGGCCCCTAGGCTTTTTAACAATTTTCACATTTCCAGAAAATCTTGAGTGCTTTCATGCCTCATCTCTTCAGAGTTTTCCTAATGACTAACTCATTGAAGACACTTTGAAGACCTGTGATCTAGTTTGACACAGAACCGTCACGGTGTGCTGACAACACCCCCCTTGCTCCCTAGATGAGGACGAGGAAAGCGAGGCGTCCAGTGAAGAGGAGTCCAGCTTGGAGAGCGACGAGGATGAGTCTGAGTCTGACGATGACGTTTTTGATGATTCAATCTGCCCAACAAGTAAGTCGGATGACACCGTGGGTCCTCTGACGTTTGAATGTGGGTCAGTTTGTGGATCAGTGTTGGGAGCCATGTTCCTTCTTTGTTTCTCAATCCTGGACATACAGTTTGTTCAAGAAAGGATGGGTTGAAATGTCTGAAGTGTTTTGCTGTTGTTTCCAGTTCTCACATCGATTCCAACTCATAGGTACCCACAGGACAGACGAGAGCTGCCCTGTGGGGTGTTTTTGGAGGTGCCCTGGTGCCACAGTGGTTAAACAGATCACTGGGTTCTTGCTCCTTATCTGGAGTATCGTCTAGTGAACTCTTTCAGGGGTTGCCATCTCTTCCTTCGGCAGCCATGCATGAGTGACAAATGAGGGGTGGCTGGTCTTCTGTTGGTTCAAGCCTATTGCCACTGAGTGAACTCTGGGCCACAGCAACCCAAGGGGACAAAGTAGAATTTCCCTGTGGGCTTTCAAGACTGCGATCTTTACATGATCCCTGCACTACCAGGGCGCCTCTTAGTTGATTCAGAGTCATTATAAATTATATGGCAGGTTCTGCTCTATAGAGAAATATTAGGTTATAATTTTATTTTTCCTTGGTTGTATCAAACTTATTCAACCTTTTTGCATGTCAAATCTGTTTTGTAGGGGCAATTCAAAACAGTCTCCTGGAGCTGGTTGGCCATGCATGCTTACTGTTTTGAGTGAAACCAGTCTAGACCGGTATCCTTGTAGCCTTCAAAAGCTGAATGCTTCAGTAGGGACAAAAAGTTGTTGGGGTGTGGTAGGGGGATAGGGATAGGGGTAACTGAAATGCACTTTTCTTAGAATTTCATATAGATTTTCAATCATAGATTTTAAAAACTAGAGTCTTCTTAGACTTATAATAATTTGAAGAGGAGACAACTAGAACAACTTGTGTTACAATGGTTTACGGCAGAATGAAATGACTGGATGAAAGCCCCCAGCTAGTTTAGTTGTAGAACTAGGGCTGGAACCAAGATTCCTGACTTCCATTGCAGTCCTCCTGGTAAGTTTACATTAGTCATCTGTCACTTGGGGGATAAAAGCAGACCAGTGTGATAATAATACAGAAACCCATTATGCCACCTCTAAAATGGGAGCAGTGGTTTATACTTTGCAGGTCTGTGAGCTTTGAGCGAGTTAATGTACGTAGAGGCCCATGCATAAGGGTTGGCTCAGACTATTGCTCAGAACCGTGATGTTAGAAACGTAATTACTACTACAGTTATCATTGCTACTGCTAATTTCTTCTTTGAATGATGGAGTCATAAATGTCAGGAATCCACAAGTGGAATTGATTGATTCCATCGTCGCAACCCCCTTATTTCTGATGCTACTGCATGCCATAACAAAGAAGGTTTCTTCTGTGTGTGTGTGTCCTTTCAGATTGTAATCCAAATCTTTTTGAACTGGCCCTTACTCTCCGAGAGAAAAGACTGGACATCGAGGAGGCCTTGGTGGAAGAAAGGAAACTTATTGATAACCTCAAAAAGGAATATGACACATTGTCCAAAAAGGTATGGTCGTCTCCAGCTTTTTTTCCCCTCCTTCTTTCCTGACGTTCCCGCTGTCCCTCCTTCAAGCTTCACACTACCGTGTCCAGAAATATCATTTGCTAGGACTTCCCCCCAGAGAAGAAACATTTAAAATGTGACCCCCGTCTTTCCCTCCTTAAACAGAGTCCTCGTGGGGGTCATTGCTCTTTGGATGATGATGAAAGACTCTCTAGGCTAGGGGTGGGGGACTTGTCTTATGCCACAGGCCATCTGGGTATTGGTAACATCATCCAGGGGCCATACTGGTCAAACACTTAATTAACTCACGCCTACGGTGATGGCTGGAACTGCTTCTCTTTGGTGAGGGGCGTGACGTCACCTGGTGTTGATGGTTTCTCAGGCCTGAAGCATTCTTGATTCTATAAGGCAGGTTGTTGAACACATACACCTCCCCACAAAGTATACATAGGCTTTAAAATTATTTCAACGAACTAACATTGTATCCATCATGAAACATTCCCAAAACAGGAATAAAAAAGAATGAGATAAATCATTAGAAATTTGGATATTTGCTTTTTGCAGCCCAATAGAGCATTCTTTGGCTCTCTGGGGTACACGTGTCTTCCGGTAGAGTCCTATTATAACTGTACTGACAGCTTATTATCTGATCTGCTCCTTTCCCCTCTTAGACCCTGTTGCCTCAATAACAGCACTTAATTCATATTCAGAAATATTTTTGGTAGATTGCTTATGCTGCAAATTAGAAATGATTGGAAAAACCTTGGAGATGAAGAATACTGTAGTATTCTATATATTGTAGTCATTAATTTCTTTGCTCTCAAGGGCACTTTTTGTTGAGTTTCTATTATGACACCCCCCCACCACAAAATTCCTACTATTCTGGCAAAGAAATTTCATCCTGGGGGCTGCTTTTCATGCAGATAATTAAAGAGCAGTGAGGGTTTGTTTCGGAGTTCATATTCATAAAACCTTGGCAACTCGGGGGATATAGGGATAATATTAAAAGTGCCACGGGCTATCTGTTACCAAACCCCAAACCAAACCCCTGCCATCAAGTGGATTCCATTGCATAAAGACCTTATTGAGTGTTTCTAAGTGAATCTTAAAAAAAAAAGTTTTTTATTAATCTTTTTGTTGGGAGCTCTTACATATCTTATAACAATCCATACATCTGTTATATCAATCAGACAGGTACAATTGTTGGCATCAACAATTTCTAAGCAATTATCTTTCTTCTTAAGCCCTTTGATATCAGCTCTTTTCTTTCCCTCCCTCCTCCACCCTGTCACCCCTGCAAACCCTTAATATATTATGCATTATTATTATTATTTAGACATATCTGACACCTCCCATTCTGTCCCTTCACCTACCATCCTGGTAGTCGTTGCCCTCAAGGGAAATTATTCTGCCTTCATTGCTATCCACTCCCCCTCCCCCCATTTCTTCCCCCTTCCTTTCCCTTACCCTCCCGGACTCGTTACACCCATTACTGATTCTGAGGGGGTTTGCCTTTCCTGAATTCGGTATATTGAAAGCTCTCATAGGACAGTACATCTTTATGGAAGCAGATAGCACCATCTTGTTCCTGAAGAATAGCTGGTGGGTTTGAACTGCTGACCTTGTGATTAGTAGCCCAATGCCTAACGCACAACTCCACCAGGGCTCCTCGTGGTTGTTGGGTGTTCCAACTCCGAGCAACCCCATGCACAGAGGAGTAAAGTACGGCTTGCTCTGGCGCCGATTGCTGTAGGCTGGAGCTCCTTCAACCCACAACTCAAGCTCACCGCCTCCCAGTTGGCTCCGACTCATAGTGACCCTATAAGAGGGGGTAGAACCGCCCATGTGGGGTTCTGAGACTGTAGCCTTTACTGGAGTAGAAATCCTTCTCTTGCTCTCCCACAGAGTGGCTGGTAGTTTTGAACCTATGACCTTGGCGTCACTCAAGGTGCTGCCCAAGGTGTAACCACGACACCACCAGGGTTTAGCAGGTAGAAAGTTGTTCCTGGGTGACAAATGGTACCAACCCTGTCATCATAGCCCATCAAGTGCACTCTGCCCATATTTTACTTCCTCCCCATCAATTAAGATGTCAGTTCATTGACATTTCCCCCTACCCTTTCTGTAGGTTAAAACGGTGGCAAACAATCTGCACGCAGCGGAGGAGGCCCTGGAGGCGTATCAACGGGAGAAGCAGCAGCGGCTGAACGAACTGCTGGTCGTGTTCCCGCTGAAGCTCCACCAGGTGATGGGTCCAGAGAGGCCCTGCAGCCCTGAAATCTGAGTGGAAAAGTCAGGGAAAGATGGGCCGATTACTAAATGAGGCAAAAAGTTGGCCTTTGCTCGGTATTCTACATGTACAACGACCCAAGAACAACCCAGATAGTTATTGAACAGTAATGACAAAATATGTGTATTTCCCCATGCCCCACTATTGCTGTGCAAGTCGAGTCCTTCCCGGCTTACAGACTTGAGGACTTAAGAATGCAATGACTTAGCGCTTGGCCTTTTGAAGCTTGCAGCGATTACACATTTCACATCCTCTTTAGGTGAACTTTAGACTTGAGCTAATGCTATAGACTTGACCTTCCCTAGTCTCTACTTGTTAACGAGGAAGGGGAAGCCCAAACCACGTATCTTTCTCTTTCCCCTTTCTTGTTCATGTTCATCCTCTGCTTGGGTCACAGTGTCTATTGCAGTGCAGAATGCATGTCAGTAGGTGAGAGAGAAGGTCCATCTTACCCTATATGATCAAATTAAGAGAGAAAGCTCCTCTGTTGGGTGTGTGACCTGATCCAAACTGGATTCGCTCGAGGTAGCAGGTTCCAGAAGGTAGCAGTTCTGAAAGGTTTGTTCCAGGAATGATCTGTGGGGGAAGATTGCTCTCCCATAGCTCCGCTTACACCCACTGCCATCCCATGTTCACTCGGACTCGGGGCGACTTTGCGGAACAGATTAGAAGTGCTCCCCAGGGTTTCTGAGGCCGTACATCTGTAAGGAAGCAGACTGCCTCGCCTTTTCCCCATTGAGTGGACAGGATGGTTAGACCACCGACCTTTCTGTTACCAGTCCGATGCTAAACCCACTGTGCCACCAGGCCTCCTTTGCTATCCCCATAGGGACGTGATGCGGCTTTTCATCTGATGGCAACACTCCACTCTTACCTGGTCCCCCACCCTCAGAGGTAAGGAAGAGACCATTCCAGACCATTCCAGGGGTAACAGACAAAGAGAGGGACAGAGAGGAACGTGCCTCTCCCCACACTGTCCATCACCTCCAGACTGACTTCTTATCTTCATTGTGTGTGTGTGTTTTCTGTTCTGTTTCCATAGGTAGAATATATGATGTTTGGAGAAATCCCTAACGATCTTTCCGGTACTTTGGTCTTCTCGAATCGCTCCCTGGGACTGCTGCAGGAGAGAATCTTACAACTCCACCACGAGAATGTCCAGCAGCAGAAACTAAACAGGGAATGCCGGGAGAGACGGAAGCTGCTGATCCGAGAAAAGAGAGAGATGGCCAAAACCATACAGAGTGAGTACCGGTGCCCAGGGAGAACGGAGCGATGCGTATTGAGAGAAGGCTGTCCAGTAACCGTCTCCAACACATGGTTGTCGTTAGGTGCTGTCCGGTCAGGTCGGAGTCACAGCGGCCTTAGGGAAAACAGAAGGAAATACTGCCCGGGCTGGCACCTCCTCACAGTGGTGATGTTGGCGCCCCAATTGTTGCGGCCACTGTGTCAGTCCATCTCGTTGGGGTTGGTCTTCCTCCTCTTCACCAACCTCCTCCTCTACCAAGCATGATGTCCACCTTAGAAAACAATATCCCACCATATAGGCAGCACCACTACGGGAGGAAATAAGAACATCTTCCTCATTTTGCTACTTACCGCCACTGATACCATGAATGGTTGCTCTCTGGTTTGGTTTTAATGGATTATAAAATTCCTTTCTTTCAAGTGCAAAAGGTCTTAGGTGTGATAAAATGTTGATGCCGGTGATTATGTTGTTACTGCTGGTAGGTGCTATTGAGTTGGTTTCGACTCCTAGTAACCCCATTTGACAGAGTAGAGCTGCCCGGTAGAGCTTCCTAGGCTGCAATCTTTACAGGTGGCAGCCCTGGTGGCATAGTGGATTGCATATCGGACTATTAACCTCAAGCTTAGTAGTTTGAACCCACCAGCCACTCTGTGGGAGAAAGACGAGTCTTTGAGTTCCTGTGAAGATCTACAGCCTCAGAAACCACTGGATCTCCTGGACCGCAGTGAGGTTTTTGGTTTTCTTCCCTGAGAATCTTTATGGGAGCAGGTCATCAACTCATTCTTCTGAGGAGCTACTGGGTGAGTTCGAATCGCTAACCTTTCAGTTAGCCACCAACACTTCACTGTTGCCATCAGGGCTCCTTATGATAAAATATAGGATAATGTAATGTAATGATAACCCGTGAACCCACTGCCCGGCTTGAGAAAGGTAGCATCAGTGATCCAATTGAAGCCCTATCTCTTTCCACTAGTATTTTGTAGCCTTTCCCCCCATGGCTACCACTAAGTATGTACGTGTACATATGTGCATATCCACACACAACCCACAGAGCTACTCGACAGGCCTTTAGCTGCAATGGCATTCTACTAGGCATACCCTCTGTAATTCACTTTATTTTTTGTAATTCACCCTTTTTTGAGGTGAATCAGATATCACTTTCGCTGCTACAATAATATTCCATTGTATGGATATAAAAGTTTATTTCTTTATTCTGTGCTCGATGGACATTTAGTTTGTTTCCAATTTTATTTACTCAATGTTAAGTTGGTTCTGACTCAGTGATGTCATGGGTTCAAATAAATGACAGCCATTATCATGTCTTGGAATTTAGAAGGGTCTTTATTTAGTTAGCTGGGCTCCCGAGAAGCTAAAGATGTTTCCCCTCATAGCAGCCCCGAGTGGACTTCTCAGTCCATCTTTAAGGCCCAAAACTCACTTATCACCTGTCTAGGGTTCAAGCACGCATGAACAGAAGCAGAAAGCAAAATTAATGGATTAATGGTAATTTCAAGAAGAGTAAGCATGCATTCCAGGGTACATTCCTTATCATAAAAGAAACTATACTAAAATTGATTATAACCTCCTGGTTACCATGACAAGATTATCATAAAAGAAACAATGCCAAAATTGATTGTAACATCTGGTTATCATGACAATATTAACCACACCCTTCAGATTACAACATCAAAGGGAACAATATCGAAAAATAATCAAAACAAACGATATATTGAATAGTCAAAACTAATTGTAGTGTCCAGAACCTGGGAACATGGGAGGACATTCTAAAATTAATCGCCAGCCAAGACTTTCCCATCAGGGGAGGGAGAACGGGCAGGTCAACTAGCAGTCAACCCTCTGAGATGGGAGGGAGGCACGGGCAAGTCACTGAGCAGCTATCAAAAATGGAGCTGCTTTTGCTAGCCTGCCTCAGTGACCCTACATAAATATTAGTACCCTCATTTGTTTGGCTCTCTAAATCGAACTTTCAAGAACTGGTCACAGCACGGGGTCTAGAAATCACATCGTTTCCCTCTAACCACCCCCTCCCCCTTCCCCCATTTAATCTCCATTATCACCCCCTACACGGCTAATGGCCACTTTTGGTTTGGTTTGGTTTTCCTGGAAATGGCCTCTCCTCCTGGCTAAAGATGCCGCCCCTTACTGACGACTCCTTTTAGGTGTCACCAGGAAGCCCGCGATGATTCTCCTTAGACCCGGTGTTTTCCACCCAGCCCTGCCCCTCTTTGTTCCCTTGGCGGGGTCCCCTTGCATTCTTCAGGTTGCTGTGGGAGAAGCAGTCTGCAGGCCAGGGCACGGAGGGCAGTCAACCAGAGCAGGGTTTGGAAAGGGCCCAGAAGATCCACCGTGCACGGCGGTCCATGCCGGCTCTCGGGAACCATCACTGCATGGACGTCAGTGGTGACTTTTAGTAAGAGGGGGACATCCGTTAGGCACCTGTGCTGTTTCTTTGTTGGTACCTTTTCCTTCATTGATACGGTTTTCACACATCATTAGAGCTCTCAGGCAATGGTCAGCAGACTCATCTTATACTACAACCAACATTTAAAACCCGCTACAAGGAAATTGGAACCATATTTGCTCCCGATTTCCTCAGACAACCCCACTTTGCAGAAGTGGGAGGACATTTAAAATGTTTGTCCTTCCTCATCCTGATGATTCTTGTGAGTGACCCTGGGTGATAGAGTGGACCTACTCCATCAGGTTTCTTAGGGATGATCTTTTTGTCCCTCTCTCTAAATTTTATTTTGTTGTTTCTCTTGGGAATATCTATACCAGCAAATTATGCACCAATTACACCGTTTCTACTAGTATACGTTAATGACATTGATGGCATCCTTTGAGTTACGCAACCCTCTCAGCCTCCTTATCTCATGTGCTCCTTCCTCGAGGGGGCAACTCACTTCCCCCAAGCTTTCTTTCTTTTTTTTTTTTTCTCCAGAAAATTCTCTTTAATATCTACGCTAAATAAATAACATTTATACATAAGACAAAAGCATCCCAAACATTTACCCTAGTTAAGTGTACAGAGGGGTACATCAACTACTTTAAAATCTAAAATCAAGCATGTGCATGGTAAGAAATCACCTTTTCCCAAATTTATTCATTCCTCTTCCTTAAATAATTTAAAATTCTGTATTGGACAAATCAGATACAAACGTATTTGTGCAAATCAACTGTAAACATGGTATGGCTTAAAAGTCATCCGTTCCTCTGCCTCACCATATGCCGCAAAACTTTAGTCATTATTCCTAGATCATCTGAACATAGTGCCACACCCACACACAATACAAACCAAATAAATCTACCCCAACTACGAATAAAGTGTTAGGATACTATTGAGCCAGCTCTAGCAATTTTGGCAAAGACAATAAACATCAATTTCATGTACCCCCCAAAATAAAAATGTGCAGGGCCAATCTTTTCCCTCTACACGTCTAGAGACTTCTTGAAGAAACTTATTTGACATCGACATTGGAGGGATAACAAGACACAGACACAGAACACGCCACTCTTCCTATCACACACGGGGATGACATTCATGCATATTTTAAAAATTAATCACTGTGAATCCAGTCAACGATTTCTTTAAAAAGACAGAGTAAAAGAAAAAAATTGAAAAGAACAGAGTAATCTCTGCTTTGAGAGATCACAATAAAATCAAAAGTAATTTAGATACTGCCATAGTTTTTAAAAAGTCATCATTTATACAAGTACAAAATCCAAGTTGCTTGTGCAAGGGCATCAAATGTTTCGAGAAAGACCTATCACTTAATGATCATCCTGAGCTACAAATGTAACACGTGAATTATTTTACAAGACACTTCACTGATTGCTCACCTTATTTACATAACAACATCATTCATCAATTACAAGTCTATAGGTTTACCTGGCAGTAGTTGGACTTTTCCGATAGGATTTTTCCCCCCAAGCTTTCGATGGAGTCTTTCCATTTGCTGTGGTCAGTTTGTTCCCACATAGAGGGCTCTTAAAAGAGCATAGTGCTCAAGTAGACCTTTTCATTCTGAATTTTAATAAACTAGTTACGTTTAACTGTTGGCTAGTTTTCATATGAATTCAAGGATATTTGGGGCTTAAGGTTTAAGGACAAAAATGTCAGGGCTTCATCCACTTTCCAGGCTCGAGAGAACCTTTTTGTCTCTAAGAGTTTGGAAGTCGGTTCTGCCTTTGACCCCGTTTGATGAGTCTTCTTCTCTGGAATCTGTGGTCACAATGTTCAGTGATGGAAGCCAGGCGACATCCACTTCTTGGGGTCTCCTGGCAAAGGAGGCAGTTGTTCTCAGAGGCAATTAGCCACATAGCCCAGGGGGGCCTCCTCTGAGCGACTCTCCTGCTTCCTCTGTTGCTTAGGGTCCATTGTTATGCCTTGAATGGCCCCTTGCAGTAAACTAGGAGGTAGAACAGAAGCACCAGACATGTATGTGGCCAGTTAGCCAGAATGTCACACGAAGCCATGGCCAAGGGACCAAGAACCAAGCGCCCTCAGCAGCGGTTTTCTTCTTTGTTCTGTTGTTATTGAAAAAATATCTATGACATAACTTGGGCCAATTCCGTTTTTGACAGGTGTACAACTTATTGAGAGCCAGTATAATAATCAGCTGGGTAGCCCTACTCTTAATCAATGTGTTTTCTCCACCCTTGCTACCTCCCTCTTTCTAGTCCGTGGTAACCGTGAATGAACTGTAGTCTCTGCTTGCCTTGTTCTTGCCTTGCTATGTAACTGAGGCCGTACACTCTGTGTCCCTTTGTGGTTGGTTTTTTTGCTCAGTATAATATCTTTAAACTCCCCCTGAACTGTGGCATGTAGCAAGACTTCATTTCTCCTGTTGGCCGAGTGGTATTCTAGTGCATGCACGTACCACGTTTTGCTCATGGGCAGTTAGATTGTGTCCACGTTTTGGCTCTTGTGCATAGTGCTCCTTTCTGAGTCTCTGCTTTGGGGTCTATCCCTAGGAGAGGAATTGCTGGGTCACATGGTAGTTCTATTTTTAGTTTTTTGAGGAACCATCACAATGCTTTTCATGGTGGCTGTCTGTGGGGGGAGGTCAGATACTTGCTGCTAGACTGCTGTCTCATCCCACCACGGGGGGTGGGCCTGCTCCCTGCCTCTGGAGACAATGGACAGGCTCCTGTAGGAGGGGTTTACACCCTACTTGATAATGTTCCTATGGAGACCCAGAGACCACCCCCTAGACCACCCTCTCATTGCTGTGTAACCTATAGTGCAGCCCCTCCCTGTGACGTATGTCTCTACCTGTAATTAGTGGGCTGGCATGCCCCCAAAGGTTATATAGGCTTGAGTCAGCAATATAGATCCGTCTCTCTGACTCTGAGCTCCTTGCTGCTCACTCCCTGGTCACTCCCCTCTCCCTTGTTCCCTTCCCCTCCTTCCCTTCCCCCTCTCTCCACGTGGACCACCAAGCTGGGCTGAGGTGAGCGATGTTGTCATGTATTGTGTCTGACTGTATTATTGTAATATCTCTCATGCTCTTGATGACTTTAATATAATGCTTATATATCTCAACCATACAATTGTGCATTACTGAACCCAGAAGTAGTATTACTGAACTTGTAGGAGTAGCAGCGGGTGGGGGCTGGTCCCCCACCTCCCTCTGCGTCTTTATTTTTTATTTAATACTTCAGCTGTCCCATTTGGCATTCCCTCCAGCAGTGGATAAGGTTCCCAATTGCCCTAGTTCCTTGCCAACATTTGTTATTTTCCGTTTGCTGGTTTAAACCTTAGCCATCCTAGTGCGAGTGAAATGTTATCTCGTAGCTAATCATACTGAGCATCTTTTTTGTGTGTTTTAGAAGCCTTTAGAAGATCCTATTTGGGGAAATGTCTTTTCAAGCCCCTTGCCCATTGAACGTATATTTTAGCTAAGAGATTCTTATCACATATATGGTTACAGAAGATATACTCCTAACCCATATATTGCTGTTTCAGTTTCTAGTGAAGTTGTTTGATAAAAATTTTTTACTTATTTTTTAATGTATTTATTACTTATTTTTAATTCACTTATTTTGCCTTTTGTAGTTTGTGTTTTTGCTATTACATTAACTGATCCACCATGGAAAGCTAATCCTGAGAGCATTACTCATGCTTGTTCTCTAAGAATTTTATGGTCCTAGTTTGTATATTTAGATCTTTATCCCGTTTTTATTGTGCTTTTGTGTAAGGTGTAAGCTTCCTGCATGTGGAGATCTAATTTCCCATTTATTGAGAGGCTGTTCATTCCCCATGAATGCACTCAGCACCCTTGTCAGAAATCCACTGGCCTTAGATCAGTAAGTTTATCCTGAATTCAATTCAATTCCCTTGTTCTATGGGCTGATTGTTAGACTAGCACCAGGCTGTTTTGATTACTGTATGCCCACTCTCTTCTTAACGCTAGATGTTGTGGAAATGAATAAGATAATAAAAAAATTTTTAATTCCCAATCCGGTTGCGGAAGGGCAAATCAGGCCAGTTGTTAAAACGGAGTCAGTTTTATGAGGGATTGTGAGGTTAAAAAGGCAGCATACCAGAATGGCATTTTAAGGGTGTAAAATACCCAGTCACGAGCCAGAGGAAACATCACTTAGTAGCATAACATCTTCACCTTGTTCTGACAAAAGCGATACCATCGAGCTTCATGGTTATTACGGGGTCTGTGTGATAACCCTGAAAGACTAAGGCAGGGACTATCTTCTTTTAGAAATGGAGGAAACCGTGTGCCAGCTAATGATCAGAAAGTTTGGCCGTGTGATAGACCTGGAAGCCCTGCAGACACTATCTGTTAATACAACCCTTGAAGAACTAAAGATCAAAAAACTTCGAAAAGAGCTGTCGAATGCAAAGGAGATGAAGATGTGGGAGGTAAGGGCTGGGGGACAGTGCAGCTGCCTTGGATAAATTTTGGGGGCAGCAAGAAACCACAGTGGTTCCCAGACAACTCCCGTGCAGCTTGGGGAGGGGTCTGTCAGCCCTGCTTGGCGCCCCTGTGGTCATAGGCCCGTCTCAGCCCCCGTACCACTTACTTACTTAGAGGAGCTTGCCTATCTCTGGGTGAAGAAGGTATTAGCCTGAGTTTTGAGGTCCGCTTTTACCTGCAGCTATGGTGAGAAAATAGCATGAAAGATTACAGAGAGATTCTATTTTGAGACCTCCAGCAATACAGAAATGTTAGAAACTGAACTGCTTTACGCTGACTGCCCTCATTGTGTTTATCACGTCGTTTTTGCGTGCTGCTAGACTCTGGAAATTAGAAAGCGTCAGAGTACTACAGTTTGTAATGCGGCCTAGGCTATTTAGTAGGTAGGGTCTTGTAAGTTTGTTAATTGCCTACAAATAGTTCTCTAACCAGGGCATGAGTCAGTGGTCCAGTTCCGGTTCTGTTACAAAAGTCGTGTAACCCACAAGCTAGTAGGACTTCCTGTCTTGTCTCATCAGTAGGTAGGACTAGAGAGCTGTCCCATTAATGCCCTCTTGTGGCATTAATCAAAGATTTATCACTGTACTTTGGAAGAAGTCTCCCTGCCAGTGGGACTAGTCCTTCTCGGGGGAATTTTGAACATAATGTAAGTAGTCTAAAATGCTTTGTTCAAGCAATCCAAGAAGAAAAGAAAGCCATGTTGCAAGTGCCTGGCCCTTTAAGCCAGCTACTTTAAGGCTCCTGGGCCAGTACTAGTGAAAGAGCAAAGTACAGAAGCTTGCTGCTTAATTTCTCCTACTTCCTTTTCAGCAATATAAGCTAGCACCCCCTCTGAATCGTACTTTCAGTCTTCCACAATGAGGTGCTACTGATACCGATCTTATCATCACCTCCGCTTGCCCTTGAGCAGGCTTAGATTCGTGTATCGAATGCGTGTATCGAATGCGATCAGCCTCGATGCAGTCCTTCTGAAGACATTTCCACTTGGGGTTCCTTTGTCTTGATATGGTGTCTGCTGCTCCATTTGCCTTATTTCGATTTTCCGTTCCCTTTCCCTCTCTCGTTCACTTAACCCACTTTGCATCTCCTTCCCCCGTAGGAAAAGATTGCCCAACTGCGATGGGAACTGATGATGAAGACAAAAGAACACACCAAAAAGCTTCATCAGATGAATGACTTATGTATTGAGAAGCAGAAGCTTGACTCTCGACTGAACATGCTGCAGAACCAGCAGGTATGTCTCTTGTCTTCAGACTCTCTGTCAGAGTGGGGAAGGCCCGCGGTGTACGACCACAACAATATCAAGTGCTGCTACTGCAACAAGCCGAGCTCTTGGACTCTTTGCAAGCCATCGAGGTATCTGGGGACACTGAAGCAGTATCGGCCACGTGACAGGGGGACTGAGAGACTAGCTCTATTGCCTGTCTCTCGGGTGCGCTGAACTCACCCAAGTCTTAATCCATGAGGTTTGCTGTTGTCTTGAAAAGCGAAGGCATAAATGATTACACCAACATACTTCTTAAGTTTGGTGTCAAAGCACCCATTTCCCATAGCTGTTCATTTCACTTGACCTCAGCTCCAGCGGGCGTCTGTGAACATGGTGTGGGGGTGGTGTCAAGTGAAATGAACAGCTATGGGAAATGGATGCTCACCTGACTTGAGCCATTCCTTCTTAGAACCTAACACATCTGGAGTATTCTCAATTATGTATCATGTGCTCGCAAAAGTATCTGCACTCATGACTGGGAATGAGTTGGTATATCAGGCATGTATTTAGCTGCAAGTAACAAAAGCCCCCAGGAGTAACCAAAAGGAGTTTAAGAAAATAGGGTCTTCTCCCCCCACCTCCCATCCCTCATCCCTTCACTTAATGAGCAGTCTGAAGGGAGCGGAAGTCAGGGCCAGTATCTGTGATCCTCTCATGTTTATTTCCTTCAAAGTCACATCTCTATGTTCCACACCTGGGGGCCGGGTTCTTCTGAGAAACTGAAGGGCCGATTCAACCAGGTTGCAGTATAGCACTGAGGAAACACACATCATTCCTCTGGTTCCTGAATGCTTCCTCCCCGCTAACCCCCCCACTACCATGCCCCAGGTCTACCTTACAAATCCGGCTAGACCGGAGTACACATAAGAGTACAGATAGGAGCTTTTGACACATGGAACTCAGGACAGATACAGCCCTTAGGCACAGTAGTGGGAACAGCGATGTCATGAGGGATGGGGGATGGTGGGGAGGAAAGGGGAACCCATCACAAGGTTGGGTATATAGCTCACCCACACCCACCCCCGAGGGAGGACAAATAACAGAAATGTGGGTGAAGGGAAACAACGGACAGTATAAGACACGAAATAACAATAATATATAACTGATCAAGGATTCACGAGGGTGGGGTGGAAGAGGGAGGGGAAAAAAGAGGAGCTGATACCAAGGGCTCAAGTAGAAAGAAAATGTTTTGGAAATGTTGATGGCAAATTATGTACAAGTGTGCTCAATACAACTGAATGATGGATTGTTATAAGATTTGTTAAGAGCCCCCCAATAAAATGACTAATAGTTTTTAAAAACCTGGGGAAAAAAGGAAGAGAAACCTAGTAAGGAGAGGAATCATCATTCCCAGCCACTAAAGTGAAGGTGGGCAAGAGAGAAGTAGAAGGGGATCGGGTAGCCAGTCAAGAATATCTCCTGAAGTTAAGTATGGGAAAACGGAAAGATCCTGGACTTTGGGGTTCAGGCAGCCTGGTTCTAATCCTGCTTCCAGCACTGTGGAATGGAGTGGAATGATTTGGGCCAAGTCGTGAATCTCTCGGAGGCTCAGGTTCCTTCTCTGTGGAATGGGAACAAAAGTTGTCACTGTGGAGTTGCAAGGATTACATTAGATGGTGGCTGGAAAGCACCTGGCACAGAATGGGTGCTAGGTAGGTGCTCTGCTCCTTACGCCCCTCATTCCAAGGTTCTGAACTCCCACTCGGGTGACAAGCAGGCGGGCGGCTGCCGGGTAGAGTGCTGAGATCCAGGTGCCTGGGCCCACCCTCAAGCTGGACAAAGCACAAACAAGCATTGAGGTCAAACTAAAGGAAAGTACTGTTTTTTTCAGGTTAAAAAGGTGTCAAAAGCAAATTTCATATACTTCCATCTGATAATAACAATGCTTAATGATGGGTGTTTCGATAGAATTTAGGAAGGCAATCCTGACTTAATCATCGGGGCAAAGGTTTCTTGGAGAGATCTGAGGTGATGTCCAGAGCTTGAGCAGGGGTGGGCTCAAGAGGGGAGGGAAACAGGTGAGGAAAAAGATACTTACTTCTTGGAACAAATTCTGGGCTATATGAAATGGCGGGTATGCCTTATCGTTTATGATTCCAGTGATGAGCCCTCTAGGGTATGAATGACCAACGGCCGGCTTCAATGTGCTCCCTTCTGAAGAAGACTGGCATTTTAAGAATTGCTCATTAACCCACACGGACACATTTCTAAGGATGGGGTTTCAGTGGAAATCCCATTTTTGGCCCCTTAAATTAAGGAGCAATTAAGAATCCTGGTGGCAGAGTGGTGACAAGGTGGGCTGCTTAACTGCCAGGTCGGTGGTTGGAAACCGCCAGCGTCTCCGCTATAGAAAGACGGGGCTTTCTACTCCATAAAGAGTCAGTCTCGGAAGCCCACAGGGGCAGTTCTGCCCGGTCTTGTAGGGTTGCTATGAGTCCGAATTGCCGTGATGGCCGTGAGGTTAGTTTAGATAGACCATAAGGTACATGGCCCTCACAGATGCATAAGGCTGTTTTTTTCACTTTCCAAATGATGCTTAAAGCATTTTTCTTTTAACAGGGCAACGCTTTCCAGGGCCCTAGGAAAGCAGATATTGTGGCGAAAGAGAAAGTCACCGAGCTGATCCAAGTCCAGGCAGAAAGGATTTTGGCCTTGAAGGAAGAGATTACTGTTCTGCGTAAGAAAGGTGGCCTTGTCCTCCCGCCCATTCATCCTCCAGATGAGTGAAAGCCCCCTCCCCACTCCCAAATCGACTTTTAAGTTTGCTTTCTTCCCCCCTCTCAAATCCATCCAGTATTTTTCTTAGACATACAACTCACACAAAAGAAGTGTGTTTGCCTTGTAACCTGCAGCCCTCCGATTGCTTTAAACCGAGCTTTCCTAAAAGTCTAACGCCAGATTCAGTCGTGTCGTTTGAATCATGCCCCCCTGGGTTGGTTATGCTAGTACTGACGGCACCTACCATTACTTATCCTCCAACCGAACCAGTCTAGATATGCTTGGGTTTTGCTAGACGAAATAGAAAAAGTCTCAGAAGACAAACAAACAAATAAAAACATCTATGTATCTGGCTTTAAGAAAACTTCATTTTTCAGTTCTCTAAATTTTCAGCCATTGGCAAAAAGAAAAAAAAGTCAATCCCTGAGCAAGGTGCTCTTTCAAGCATTTGATCCTTGGAAAATAAACTTCAGTGTTTTTAAAACATTCCTCAGAAAGACACAAGAGGAAGGGAAAAAAAGGGAAGCTGTTTCGCCAACAATATCGGAAAATCAGAAATGCAAATGGAAGTTCTGACAGTGTGGAGTCTGTAAGGCTGTCACCAGACAGCCAGGGATTCAAGAAATGCTGCCAAACATGGCAGAGCAGCTTGCTCCGTGGAGCTGGTGGCAAGCAGAAAAGGAGCCTGCTTCTTGAATCACCCTGCCTCGCAAACCCCTCCCGACTGAATAGTCCGCCAGTCTGGGAAGAGTCAGACAGGGAAGCAACAAAATAGATTTGTTCGGCTCAGAGATCCTCCTTAGCCATTGCTTTGGATTATATGGAACCTTCTAAACTATACATTAGCTCAAGGTTGTTCTTTGGGTTTGTGGGCTAAGCGTTCCTTGGAATCCAGGGCTGGAACCACCCGTGAGTGATCTCAATGGTGTCAGACTACTGTGAATATTTCCAGGGTGTTGTGTGCTGTTCAGTTGATGCTGATGTATAGCGACCCTCTGTGACAGGTTAGGATCACCCCTATAGCATTTCCCATGCTGTGATCTTTATGGGATAGAGTCTTGGCCGCACAGTTGGTAAAGCGGGAAGAGGGGTGGGTCCTAACCAAAAGGTCAGCGCTTAAAACCCACTGGCCACTCTGTGAGGGACAGAAGTGACTGTGCGCTTCTGTCACGAGTACAGCCCTGGAAACCCTCTGGGCAGTTGGACTCTGTACTCCAGGGTGGCTAGGGACAGAAATGGCTCAGTGGCAACTGGTAGGCTCTACGGGGGCAGATTGCCAGCCCTTTTCTGCTGAGGAACTGAACTGCCGAGCCGCCTAGAGCCAAGGACATTTGCCACTGTACCACCAAGGCTGCCTTTCATTTCTGTTGGATCCCAGACTTCGTTTAGAACCTGTCATTGAGTGTGGGCATCCGAGGCTGCGGTGAATTTAGCTTCAAACAATAGTCAAGCACCAGTCGCTCACAGCAGGACATAGGCGGAAAGCTGTCCGGCCCCTCAGTGGAGCCATTCTTGCCTCCTCCTGGCTAGAGGAGGCAGTCTTCCCCTGGGGTGTGGGGGGTGTGGAGGGGTGGGAGGAGCCAAAAATCAGGCCAAATAGAATTACCTGTGACCCAACTGTACATAGAACTTGGCTCTTTAGGACCCATCTCCATAGCATCATAGAATCCTGGTGGTTGACAAGAAGCGCCTGTCCAGCGCCTGTCACAGCTCCCTCGGGGCCGGAGCTGATCATGGCTGCACTCAGGCCCCCTGGCACCAAGAGGCCCATCCTTAGAGGCTGTGGAGCCAAGCGCTGAACTCCATGCTCCGTTCCAGCTTCCAAACACCAGGCCTCACTCTTCCACGTGGTCAGGTATGTCGCCTCGGCTGACGGAGGAGCCCTGTTGGCATCGTGGGCTACACGGTGGGCTTCTAACCAGCCTCTTCGTGGGAGAAAGGTGGGCTTTCTGCTCCCGTAAAGCGTTGCGGCCTTGGAAACCCACAGGGGCAGGTCTACCCTCTCCTCTAGGGTCAGGTCTACCCTCTCCTCTAGGGGCAGGTCTACCCTCTCCTCTAGGGTCAGGTCTACCCTCTCCTCTAGGGGCAGTTCTACCCTGTCCTCTAGGGGCAGTTCTACCCTGTCCTCCAGGGGCAGTTCTACCCTGTCCTCTAGGGCCGCTGCGGGTCAGCGTCGACTGGATGGCAGTGAGTTTGGCCGAATCAAACTGTTCAACAGGTGTGATTTCTAATGACAAACGAGTGTGGGCCATCTGAAACACCGAATCCACCCGGATCTCAGGAAGGACAGAATTCAGGGAAGCCGAGACGCTGAGCGCCTTCGTTTTCTGCACCGAAAGGCTAAAAGCCCGCTGCCACCCTAGCTCACTCTTTCCTGCAGCGGCCGGCGGCCAATGCCCACCTTCCACTGACCTGCCGAAGCAGCACCTTTTCTTGCCCAGGACTGTCTTTTTTTTAATTTTTTTTATTTTATTGGGAGCTCATACAATTCTTAGCACAATCCATACATCCATCCATTGTGCCAAGCACATATGTACATTTGTTGCCATCATCATTCTCAAAACATTTGCCTTCTACTTTAGCCCTTAATATCAGTTGCTCATTTTCCCCTTTCCTCCCCACTCCCTCATGAACCCTTCATAGTTCATTAATTATTCTAGTTTTGTCATAAGTTACACTGTCCGTTGTCTCCCCCTGCCCTCTTCTCTGATGTCCACCCCGCAGGGAGGAGGCAATACTTAGATTCGGTTCCCCCTTTCCACCCCACATTCCCTTTGCCCTCCAGGCATCGCCCCTCTCACCACTGGTCCTGAGGAGTCACCTGTCCTGGATTCCCTGTGTTTCCAGTTGCTATCTGTACAATGTACATCCTCTGCTCTAGCCAGATGAGAGCTGAAATCACAGTGTTGTCAGGACCCCAGAGCTGTGCAGAGGGCAGACGGTTTTACCCTACCATGCCAGATCCACACGTTTAACAGAACCTTAGATCGTCAGGGGGGAGATAGAGAAACGGGGCACCAAAGGCGGGGGGCGTGAGTCGCAGCTCAGATGTCAGGGCCCAGGTGAGCAGTGCAAAGGCCAGGGGCCTTGTCCCCCCACCCTCCCTGCTGACAGGGCCAGCAGAGCGGGCCCTCTGTGCTTCCCAGCCACACCCTACTTCTCCTTTCTCCCCAGTCCCACGTGCCCGGCACACCGCCACTTATTAAACACTGTTTAAAAAATGCCTCTGAACATCACTGTTTGGATGAGCGTTCTGGCTCAGCTGTTTGCGAGGCCGGAAGCAGCGCTGTCTGGGACGGACAGATGCTGTCTTTCTTCGGGCCGGCAGAGGGAGGGTGCACCCATCTTGGTTGGACACCCTGGGCTCCCTTTGGGTTGTGCTCATCTAACTTTTCACTGTGAGGACAGGAAGCCAGAGCCCGACAGGACTCGGAGTTAAGCGTTTCGAGTGGCCTTTCATCTCTACCTCAACTTCACCGATGTTCTTAAGCCGCTCACTTCCAGGGCCACACGCCTTCCCTGCACCCTTCATTCTCCACCCAGCTCCAGTGCCCTCCACACACGATCTATTGAATGGCTTATTTGTGCTAAAATTTGAATCGATGGTCAGCTCTTTGGTTGGGCAGTAGTAAGTAAACTTGAAGCAGCTGGTGAGCCAACCCCCTCTGGCAATGGAATGGAAGGATGTAAATCTGGTCAGGCACCAAGTGTTCACATGCTGTGTTAGCATTTAACTAGCTGGTACTTTGGAGAAATAATCTGCTCCACATATACACCTATATAAAGAGGGCTAGTTTCGTTTCTTCGATCCGTTCTTCTGAAGAGAACGGCCGAATCGACTTTCCTTCTGATCGCGCACTGTCGGTCTCGGCGTGGGCAGTTACCACTGCCTTCTGCCTTAATGAAAACTCGACACTCATTATTTCCAAACACAAGCGATGAGAAACAGCTGCTGCCTTTTCCAGAGCTCCTCTCCCGATGGACGTGCCCCACGTGCCTATTTTCTTGGACTATTCAAACACGGAACACTCGTGTTGGAAGAAAACGTGGACTCATACATGACCAAGCTGAGGGCTACAGGAAGACTAAACATTTATTTAGAAGTTACAGTGTTTGTTTTCACAGAGAAAGGCTGCCACAGATTATTGATGCGTAGCATACTGTACACGTCTGTCTGTCCTCACAGGCTTCTTAAGGAAATGCTTTCCTGTCCTAGCAAATCCAGCCTTCGGCTGTCCTGTGTCCCATTGGTGATACATACAGTGCACCCACGGTCAACATGGACAGGGTGCCTCGGACGGAGCCTGCCTTCCGTCAGGTGACCGGTGGGCCTTGGGCCCCTCCCAGCTCCCAGGAAGCTAAGAGCTTCTAAGGGTAGACTTGCTTTCTGGGGTCAGGCTCGTGGGCAGCCTGCCTCCGGTTGTCCTGGTTGATCTGTTAATATGGACACTTCTTGGTTCTTACTCTCATACCTCGATGGGTAGGATTCCCCAGGTCTCAGAATTATAAGGACACATATACATTTATTTACAAGTGCATAAATATATAAATATGGCTATTATAGAAAAATAAATACCGATTTTCTCTGTCTCTTTTTTAAACACACACATGCACACACACACAAAACAATATAGAGTCTTTTGGGAGAAGCTGGCTTCCATCTAAATTGCAGGGGGTGGTGTTTCAAAAGACACGTGCACTGCTGGGCCTGGGGAGAGCAGCAGCCCAGGCTCCTGTCCTATGTAGGCCCCCATGGGGTGCTGGGGACACCAGTCTCCTCCACCGACTTGACATGAGTCCGGACCATCCACCTCTTCAACTGGTATGAGGCCCAAGCAGCATGGGGGACCTGTGGGGAGAGGTGGCAGGGGAACATGAATGTCCAGACCGAGGAAGGAGCGTCATCCGGTGGTTACACAGCCCACATGCACTGCTGAGCTACCTGTTACCACCATCTCTCCCCCTGTTGTGAGAGAGGGCCACCAATGACCTAAGCTCTGCTGTCGGGGCGGGAGGCGCACATGGCCTGGCCTGCATGGGTCGGTGCTGGGGAAGGCTGCTGAGCCCGTGAACATGTGGACGGAAGGAGCGAGCTCTGCTCTGTCCACTCTGTTGGTGTGGCTTCTGCTTATGATCACCCCATGCATGATCCACTGTCCCCCAGATACCACCCACTTTTCATGACATTGGAGGTCCCCTCCCGGCCTTTTAGGATGTAATCTCCCAGGATCTGCATCTGCACTGACATTTACAGCACGAGTGAGTATGTGAATCAGATGCCAATTCTGGGGCCAGCCTGGGCCCAGACCAAGCACCCTGATTCCCAAGGGACTGGCACCGAGGAAGGCAGTGGGATGGGGGTGGCATGCACAGCCCTGCGTCCCTTGGAGAAAAGTCCTGTGGAAGCATAGAGTTATTATGAGCTGTATGCAAGAACTTGGCTCCCAAATGACTGATGCAACCTTACTCCATAATTCAAGAGGCAAGACCCAGCAAAGCCAGGCATTTTGGAGCGATTAGGGAATGCCTCTAAGTGTGATGGGGAGAGAGGTGGGGTGGGGTCAGAATGCGTTAATGGCAGAGACCTGAAGAGCTGCTTCTCGTTCTGAAATGGAGAAGTTTTTTTATCTCAGTTATGGGGGCCCACAGCTTAACAATATTAGAGTAGCACCCCCTCAACTCCCTCCTGCCAATTTGCAGGACTTTCAGTCATGAGGAAAAGTGGCCGTCCCCGCTTTCTGTGTCAGAGCTGTGGCCAGCGCCCTTCTTTAAGGCCCGCTGTCTCCACAGCACGCCTGGGTCACAGGCTTGCCTTAGGGCACCCTGCCACCCCTCCAGCCTTTCGGTTCCCACCACCGACCTGTGTGGAATGGGGGCTCCCATGCTGGCTCCATCCGGGGGCTCTCGGGAGCACTCCTCAGTCCCAACTGGCCCTCGGTGGCAGCAGGCTCTTCCTGGAGGCGGCAGCAGTCCCGGTGGGGCTGCAGCCGCTGGTGGGCGGAGTCCTCTGGCAGCGTGTAGATGAATGAGCCCTCGGCGGGGCTAGGCTTGGGAGCCCTGTGTGGAATGATACAGAAGAACGCTGGGGGAGGTGGGGCAGAGTGTGCCTATACCCCCATACCTCTAACTGTTTCCCTGTCTGCGAGGCACCAGGCCCAATCGGAGCTGGTATGAGCCCGTGCCCCTTTGAATACCAATACGCACAGTGCTATTGTTTCCACAGGTGAATCTAGTCCTTGTCCACTTTACCAGTGCAAGCCCTCAGTGTGTGGGAAGGTGTTAAGTCCAGTGTCCGGGGGCATATGGGAAAAGGCAATTGCATGTGGGTGCATCTGGTCTGCCAGCTGAGGGAAGGGCTAGGAGAAGCCAGCACAGGCCCCAGAGCTCAGGGTAACTGCAGATACAGCAGCTACCTGTTAGCATAACGGCCCTGGGGGACAGCACTGCCAGATCTGGGGATCCCTTATGGAGGCACAGGAACCCCGGTGTTGTAGTGGTTATGCGCTGGGCTGCTAACTGCGAGGTCAGCAGTTTGAAACCAGCAGCTGCTCTGCGGAAGAAAGTGGAGGCTTTCTATTCCTGTAAAAGCACAGTTTTGGAAACCCACAGGGGCAGTTCTATCCTATGGGGCTACTGTGAACTGGAACTGACTCGATGGCAGTGAGTTTTGAGAAGAGAAGCACTGCTATCTGGCTTTAAGCGACTGAAGCTGGGTTTGAAGGGCAGTAAAAAGCAGGAATGGGGGCAGGCTGGTTACCTGGTGATAAGGTGAGTCGAGGGGTTACACCCATTGCTGAGAAGGGTCTGCCTCAGCAGGCTGTTGGTGTCATCCTGCTGTTCAAAAGTAAGGTGAAGGACAAAGTCACTTCAGGGCCTCTGGGTAACTCTGCAGGGTTCACTGTTGAGCGAGGCCCATGATTAGAGTCTGGCAGGGAGGAGCCTGGGGTGGATGGGGACCACTCCCTCCTGCACGTCCCAGACCTGCTAGCAGCCCACGTGCCCAAGAGGACGCTACCTGCTGGAGCTCCCCCGGGCAGTGCTGTGGAGGGCTCAGGCCTGGGTAGCCCATGGCGGCAGCGGGGCAACTCCTGGTCACGTGCATCCCATTGGCACAGCCCCGCCCATTGAGGTAGGGCTGCCCATTGTCCCGGTGGCCGGGCCGTCCTCCCAGTGGCACCATGGTATACTGACAGGAAGAAGGGAGAAGGGCACTTCGAGGGAAACCCAGGTCGGTGGTATGCTCTGCAGAGACAAGAGGACAGTACAGTTAGGCACAGGATGTTGGAGCAGCTTGCAGAAGTCCCACACACATGCTGGGGGCTCCTGACCACACGGGGGCAAACGAGGGAGGCAAGGAGTTGGCCCTGCAGAAGGGGGGAGACTGCTCTTCCTGTCACCTACTTCTTTTCCCCCCTTATGGCGGCAGTGGGTATAAAGGTGAGCCACTATAATCAAACATTTTTGTCCGGCAGTGGGAGCAATAGTTAGACGAAGTGGGTCGATCTGAGGTGTTGCCATCAGAAGCTGGAATGAGCGGTTCAAGATTAGTTGAGAGTCAGGGGAGGGCTCAGAGCAGCCCTGGAACCAGAGAGCAAGCAGGAAACATTTAGAGGGACAGGAAGGGCCCACATAAGTATGACTGTGTGGTTCGCTGAGCAGCTTCAGACACTAGAGTAAATGAGCCAGAGAAGAGCCGAGCTCCAGAGAGGCGGAGATGGAGACCCAACGTCCACTGCCCAGACATCCATCAGTCAAGGTTAGGGAGCTGGGGGGGAGGGCCAGGCTCGTGGTTTGCAAGCTCCTGGTCCTTTGAGCATGGCACAGCTGACCCTGCCCTGGGGGTGCTGGCCTCCGGGGCCAGCTCCCCGACCGACCGTGTCCACAAGGGGCGCTCACTCACTTTGCTTAGACCAGGCCCTCCACAGGCAGAAGGGGATAAAGGCGACGATGATGAGGACGATGGAGCCCAGGACCACACCGACGATCAGATAGGGCAGGTCGCTGGAGCGTGCCACCATGGCCCCCGTGCCCATGGGTCGCTCGAGGGTCTCCGGGGGTGGCGGCTGCAGCGAGGCCAGTGTTGGGGGTGGGCGACGACCAGGCTGAGCAGAAGACTTGCGAGCTGTAATTGGGGAGAAAACTCACTTCAACAACTATCTAACATTTCCTTCACAGCAAAAAGTGTGTGTGTGTGTGTGTGTGTGGTGGGGGGGGGCGTATTATATGGGTGTGGGACATGAGTCCACTCACGAGGTGGGCTCTCAGAGCCGTTTATTAGCATGGTGTCCACATCTGCCTCTCAATAGAACCAGAGGCCTTCGTGGGCAGGAACTGGCTGAAACCAGGTCTTTAGGACAAAGATCTTTTGAGACCACAGCTGGTAACCCGTTGGGGAGAAAATATTGGGAATGGATGTATTTACCAACATATGTATTCTTGCACACGTGAAGGGGTCTGAAGCACTTACAGAGTAGGGAGGGGGACTCACTAAAACACAGGCCTGGGGGCTGCGAACAGTCAGCTGCTAACGGAAAGGTTGGAGGCTCGAGTCTACTCAAAGGTGCCTCTGATGAAAGGCCTGGTAAGCTCCTAATGCAGTGGTTCTCAAACTGGGGGTCAAACGACCCTTTCACAGAGGTCGCCCAATTCTTAACAGTAGCCAAATGACAGTGATGAAGTAGCAATGAAAATAATTTTATGGTTGGGGGGGGGGGGTCACCACCCCACGAGGAACTGTCTGACAGGGTCGCGGCACGAGGAAGGTTGAGGGCCACTGTCCTAATGGAACCTCAGCATTGGACCTACCCTGGAGCACAGTGCTACTCTCGACACGCGCAGCCCCTGTGGTCCGGGGTCTAATCGACAGCAATGGATGTAGTAAGCAGCAAACCACCCAGCCAAGGGCAAAGGGTGAGTGCTACTCACCTGGGCTTTGCCATTCCTAGGAAGCTTCTGACACAGTTCATTCCTTTCTCCTTTGCCGGACCATCTTCCCCCGTAAGCTCCTACTCTCATGCTTCCTGGTTCCCCCACTCCCTCTCTGACGGACGCTCTCCACGATCTCCCTTTGGCAGCTCTCATGGGCTGGGGGTGGGTGAGAGGGCGCGTCTCCCTGGTTCTTCCCGCCTGCCACTTCTCTGTACAACGTCACCTGCCCCCACCCTCCGCACCTATCTCCTAGCCACTCCCGAAACACGCCGAGGCGCAGTTGGTTCCCCATCGGACATGTCGGTTTGGCGTCCCAGGAGAATTGGAGCCTCAGCGTGTTTCCAAGTGGCCTCATGTCATTCCTTTCTCATGACATCGTTTTCCTGGTCTGCGTTTCAATTCATGGCAGCGGCACCAGGCAGTCCTGTCACCTCTGTAGCTCGAAGCCTCCAGGGAGCCTTCACCCGCTCACTCACTCTCAGGCCAGCACACCACCTGTCTCCTGGCCCTCTACTTCGAGGCTCCAGTTCCCAAAACACCTTCCTAGTTGGACGGCCAGTCCAACCCAACAATGCTGCCCCCTGCCTCACAGACTTGAGGGGCTCCCACTGCCTGATATCCCCCAGGGCCTCGATTCCCAGAAGCCCACCAACAGGGGGCTTCCTGCCCTGCCTTTCCACTTGTAGAGCCCCCTTTCAGTACCGTGGGGCCCACCATCAGGAGCTACTGCCAGGCTTGCCCTGTCTCCTCAGCTATGCCCTCATACCCGCCTGAAGATCGAATCTGTTTTTTCCCAAAGAGGGGAGGGAGGGTGCTAGAATGATCTAGCCAGGGCTGCAAATGTAGCTAGCTACCTGCACTTTATCCTGAACGATAGGCTGTGGGACAAAGGTTGCGACTTGCTAGGGGCGAGCTGGTTTTGTTTTTATCCCTCTCAAAAGGGGTGGTCCACCTATTGAGTTTGGGCCCCTATGTTGTCACCCTTCAGCAGACCAGAGCGAATGTCTCTTCCTTGTACTACTTGAGACAAGGTTTGTCTCCCCTCCCGTCAGTGGACATAAGGGCCCAGGGCAGGTGGCAAACATGGGCGGTAGCCGCAAGGGCTTGCTGGGTGGGCAACTGAGTGCAGTGCTGAGCCAGAGGGAGGATGTTGGTGCCCCTGCAACAGGACATCACATCGAAGGCAGTGCTTGTGCCTTTTGTGCGCTCCTGAATTGTGTTCTTTGCCACGATCTGCTCTATCTCACTTCCACTAGCTGCAAAATAGAACGTTATCTACCCAACTGAGCAGTGTGCAAATAGTAACAGGTCGCTCTGTGAGCATGTTGACTGTGTCCCCGTGTGGAGAAGGGCCCTGGTGGTACCGTGGTCACATGTTGGGCTGCTAACGATAAGGTCAGCAGTCCGGAACCACCAGCCATTCGGCCGGAGAACAGTTGCAGCCTCGGACACTCACGGGGGCAGTTCTACCCTGTTCTAGAAGGTTGCTGAGAGTCCGCAGCAACCCTATGGCAGAGTTTGGTTTTTGGAGTGTGGAGAAAGGTCCTGGGCTTAGAAGAGCCTGGCCAACACCTGTTCCACCATTCCTTGGCTGCTTGATCTTTACCGAGCATGTGATTTCCTGATGCTCAGTCTCGTCCATATGGAACGGGGCTGCAGGTATGCTGAGTAAACCAACTGACAGAAGTGCCAAATGTCACGATCGGGGTAGAGCCCTTAAAGACACAGAGTTCCCAATTCAGGAAAGGGTGGAAGGACTCCCAGATGAGCCCACACACTAGTTTCCTGTGGCTCTGATGGTCGCTTAAAGCCGTCCTGATGGCCGCCTGCCCTTGTTCCCTGGTTGTCCATTCTGGCTCACTGCAGCCCTGCGGGCTTTACGGAGGCCGACAGGGACGAGTTCCGGGAGGAAGCTGTGGCCGTCTGCTCCCGTAAAGATGTACAGACGAGGGAGCCCAAAAGGCCCACGTCTACTCTGCCCTCCAGGGTTCAGCATCAGCTCGATGGCAGTGGGGACAGGGGCGAGCAGAACGGTCCGCGGGGTTTCCCAGGCTCTCATCCTTCTGGGAAGGGAGCACCAGGGCCGTCCGGCCATGAAGTGACTGCAGGGCTCCAAGTGCAGTGGGACACTTCGTGCCACCAGGTCTCTTCAATGGTCACCTACTCGTGCTTCCTATTAGAGCAGGCCAATGAGAAGCGTTCCCAAAGTGACAGGTCCGGGGAGACTCTTGACACTACATGTTTCCATGGAAACGGGCTGGCCAGCGTGTTAAGGGCTCTGCACTAGTTGGCTGGCGAGGGCAGGGCAGGGCCCTACCTTTGGTTTCGCAGATCATCACGTTGCTGAACTCGCTCTCCCCGCCTTCATTGAAGCACTGCATCTTAATGTCGTAGGAGGTCTCTGGCTGCAGGTGGCTGATGGAATGCCAGTACCTATCCCCTGCAGAGAGAGGGACAGGCAGGGTCACACGCAGTAACCCAGCTCTGGTGTGCCTGGCCCCACACTCAAAGACACACAGAATTCTGGACCTCGTCCAGGTGGCAATCTGATGCCATCAGCAACAACGCCCAGCCCAACTCCTGCTGTCCCATCATCGTGAGGAGGAAGCATGCCAGTTTAAGGATTTGATGGCCCCACGCGTGTCATGTCTGAGTCTTTGGCACGGGATGCTGATGTGTTCTTTCCCTCGATCCAGCATCCGGGGCGTATGCTTCACCAGGTCTGTTCCACCCCAGACCCCCTTTCCAGCAGAGGAAACTAGAGCGCCCCACGTGTGTCTCACCTTCCACCATATCCTTCTTGTAGTCGCTATCATTGTCACTGTCTGTGGGCCGGTAATAGATGTAGAAGCCATGGATGGGGGTGTTGTTGTTGCTTGCTGGGATATACTAGAGGGAATGGAGAGAGAGAGCAGCGTCAGGGTAGAATTGTTATTGTGTGACTGTGTTACCCCAGCCGAGAGTTGGAAAGCAGCCCTGGCGGTGCTTATGCGTTGGGTTACTATCCCCGTGGTCAGCAGTTCAAAAGCACCAGCAGCCCCTTGAGAGAAGGACTGGGCTTTCTACTCCTGTAAACAGTTACAGACTCGGAAACCGGCAGGGGGGTCGGCTTTGAGTCAGCACTGACTGGAGGGCAGTGAGTTTGGTTTTTGGAGAGCCTAAACGCACTGGGATTTGCTGAGGATAGGGGGGTAGAAACACAACGAGGGGGTTCTGAGGAGTGCTTGGGAGACCAGGATTTTACACCGCCTCACACTTTAGGAAACAAGAAACCCATTTCCCTTTCTCCAGAGACTTAAGCTCCCTCTAAACCAGCGGTTCTCAACCTGTGGGTCGCAACCTCTTTGGGGGGGTCGAATGACCCTTTCACAGGATCACCTAAGACCATATTTCACAGGATCATCTAAAACACATATTTCCCATGGTCTCAAGAACTGAGACACGGCTCTTCTATCTGTCTCCAGGCGGGTCCGCCCACATGCAAATATGCCCACATACGAGTACCCGGCATGATGACATCATCACGCCAACTCCATCACCTACACCCCGTACAAATACAGGTGTATGTGACAGGGTTGGCGCCATAATGTACTTATGCGGACAGTCACACGTGTAGAGAGCAGCTACTGGGCAGAAAGCAGCTGCTGTGTTGAAAGCAGCTACTGTTAAAAATAGCTAGTGTTGAAAGCAGCAGTATTGGAGGCAAAACGACACTTCATGACTTATAATGACTGGGTAAATGTAAAATCATCAACTCCGGCAGTGGTTCCCAACCTTCCTAATGCCACCACCCTTTAATACAGTTCCTCATGTGGTGGTGACCCCCCCAACCATAAAGTTATTTTCGTTGCTACTTCACAACTGTAACTTTGCTACTGTGATGAATTGGG